AGGTTTGTTTTAGGGAGAACTGAATGCATGCTTGCCAACCCTCCTGATTCTCCAGGGAAACTCACATTTTTTCATTTCCCTCTCCTGGTCCCTCCCTGGGTCACAATTATCCCGTATTTCTCCCAATTTATGACAAACTTTCACTGTACATTGTGTTTAACTGCTCAAATAGACACGCAGAAGAGATCTCTCACACCTCGTCCTCCTCAGAGGGCAGCGGGGTGCACAGAATCTCTGTGCAGGGGCAAAAAATTAATATGAAAAAAAAAAATTAATCAAATGAAAACTGATGAATATTAGGTTATGCCAGATGTTAATGCAAATTCACGCCAGAGGGCCAAATCATTTTGTATTCTTTCCTAAAAAGTATTTTACATAAAAATGCTGTTGCAATGTACTTATTTTGTTATTTGTATTCTACGAAAGTCACCAGAAAGCTAAAAACAAGTCTGTGAAACTGGGTAAAAATACCCCACACCCACTGAGTTAAGGAAGCCAGACCAAAAAAGCTGATGGTCAGTTTAGTAATACTGAGTTTGTTCAACTGGATTTCTCCTGTGCCTGAGTAACAAACTGGGATAGAGAGCTTCAGGGGTTAGAAATCAGGGGTTTTGGCCAGTTATGAGGCTCTCAAGACTTTTTTGGCATTGAGCATCAGCAATAATGGATGTCCTAGAGACAGCTGTGGCCACAGCACATTTGTGTTTGGTCATTGCCCAAGTAAATCTGTGTCATCCACAGAAAAGTGGAAATAGATAGTGAATTAGATGTTGAAAGAGGCAATGTAAAAATATGACTCATACAGTCACTCAGGCCTATGCTAAAGGTTTTACCAGAGTTAAGACTTAAAATGTAAAGTGCTATTTCAGTCTATGTGCAATATTGCAACTGTATCAAACGTTGCACAAAGATGTAGAAAAACTGGAAAAGGCTTTTTTTCTCAGTTGTTGATTTAAGAAGACTGAAACTTTTCAGACATATAGTTCCCATTCATAAAGCCAGCAGTTGATCTGAACAATTTCCTCCAGAACCTTTACCCACAAAAGAAGATCTTTGATACTGGTACAAAATAGTTAAAGTCACTGGAAAAAACCTTTTCAACAGAGGTTTAAAAAAAAAAAAAAACGGGGGAGGAGGGGAAAGGAAATTGTGAGTAAAGAGGGAACCATTAAACACCTGTTAAAGAGAGTGTTCACACTTAATGAATTATAACGGAAATAGTTGTTGACCTATATCCTTCAGCTTTCAGCACAATGCTATCTGTTCATATTAATTGCAGCTATTTTCTCAGGATATTAATTTCAGCCCCCATCATCCAAAAGCATACCATCATTTATACTTTGCTTATTATCCACTCACTTTTGAAGGAAAAGAAAATATAGTTTTCTTATTTGGTTTCGTAGAGATCAAATGATGTTGAACAATTTAAAAATAGTAGGAGTTAGTTCACCCACTCACTCCTGCCTTTGGCAACAAAGTTGTGAGTTAACTGGTTGTTTTTACTCCCAAACAATTATTTCCTTTGGTTTGCTTCCGTGTGGCACCCTGAACCTGTTATGAATATAGATCATGGATTACGCTCAAAGCATATTTCAAACATGCTAATACCAATTAGCCTTATTAACACATTTTTTTCATACAAAACCTGGAGCCCAATCAGAAACAGACCTCCACACTTATCTGGTGCCATCATCTACGGATGCCAACATTATTGATATTTGGGATAAAAGTAAGCCCACTGTGTTGTCTCTGTGGGGTTAGTCCACTCTGAAGCCCAGATCAGAGGCGCCTCTCTGACCAGAGATGACCCTGACTGAGTCACAGGCTACTAAAGAGACAGTGATTTTATTTATTTTGAAATAATGTACATATAAAGCATCGTAAACTCTGGGTAGCACTTTCTTTTACAAGTCTGACTGACCTCTGCATCCTCTTGCCTGTTGAGAACATCAACAACTTTGGTGACTGAGACTGAAAGAGGAAGTGCCCAGAACAGTGGGAGTATTGGCTGTCACAGCAAAAAAGCTGAAGTTCAATTAACTCACGAAAGAAAGGAGACTCTCTGTGCCCTCCCTTGTAATATTATCAGCGGTGTAATTTATGACCCGAGAGTTTCAAAAAGATGTAGCTCACCACTCAAGCTACTGAGGCAGATATATTTATGAAAAGCTGTGTTTCAGATTAATGAAGCAGCAACAGGGAGGTCTTTTGACTTTTAAATTAAATTCCTAGAAGATCCATTTTTCAGACAGAGTTTAGCCCAAGTGAGACAGATAATTATAGGTCCTTGTGATTACAACACACAAATGCATCAAACCCTGACTGCTGCAAACAGGGAGCACAGTCATTAATAGTGGCATAAAAATGCAGCAGTAGGTATTATAATTATAAGGCAAACCCTTCCGTCACACCTCCATCTGTGCTCCTTCTTGAGTATCTGAGAGTCTGAGTGACTCTGCAAAATGGATAAACCTACTTTATCAGGATAAAATGCAAGATGTTATTGGCAGTAATTAAACAGCCCATTAAACTACCACCACCCTCTTAGGTTTGAGTGAGGCATGTCAAGTGCTTTTAGTCTCTACAGTTAAGTTCACTAGCTTGACGCAAAACTATTTTTTTTTGAGAAAACATAGTGTACTTTGAATCACCAGCTTACTATAGACACATTGTTAATTACATGTGAAATGTGTTGAATGCAAATGAGATATATTAAGGCAATACTGAAACAAAATCCACCAAATACTTAAGCTCCCAGTATAAGTGTATGTGTATGTGTATATGTGTTTTCATGCTTGGCACCTGTGATTTTGCTCATGAGCTTGACCAGTAACCCTCACATGTTGCTTTATATACTTGTCTTCCTTTTAGAAATGCATTGACATGCGTTTAAATGGCAAATGTTTTCGGTCTAAGCTCTTGAAAAGTGTAGCAATGACAATCATTTTATTACAGATGTAATCAGCCATTTACATATACAATCACAAACTGAAATGATTTTCCCTTACTACTCAGGCATGTACCAACAAGCAGTGTAATGTGTGAACATATTTTATAGTATTGCAGGTGCGTCCTGACAGGTGCATGACATGAATAACGTTATAACAGCAAGGGTTACAAAAATATGCACATAAATCATATATTTGATCCAATATAGTTATGTTTGGATAAAACATGTTACTGTGTGTTTGGGAACTAAATTGGTTATTCTCTTGTTGTCATAGATAGTAATTGAAACATTTTTCATTTTGACACAAAAGCACCGGCACAGACTTATGTATAATATATCTGAATCTAATGCATGGTCTGTATTTTCTGATTTGCTCATATTTTCAGTGGCATAGATGCATCGTGACTGATCACCTCATCTTAATGAGTTATTATTGAAAATTTTTTTTGCTTATTTGATGGCTTATCTGTGAGCTCCTGGTGTTGGAGGTGAAAACTAAAGGTGTTGTCTGTATGTAAGATAGTCAGAAGACAGTTGTTACTTATGTTACAAGCAGGGGTGTGTATTTCTAGCATTCAGAAGCTTCATTATTTATAGGTACAGTCCACCATTTGATACAAAAATGACTGACATACATTTGTAACAATACTATACTCTGCAATTCAAAGCTGATTCAATTCTTTTTCATATATTCGATTTTTTAGTTTTTTAATAATAAAACTAAAAGACTAAAAGTAATTATTTCCACAAGTTTTATATTCAAGAAATACTGAATCAGAAGTACCCCAGAAAGTTAAACTAACACAGGCTGATAAACTGAATAAATTTTTCGCCATTGCATAAGGGGAATGAATTTTGTGGGTCAGTCAGTTTCATCCTTTTGAATTCTGTGTTTTCAGTTATGCTGTATTTTCATAATGCTGTATGGGTACATGTAGCTCTAGATAAAACAGCACATACCAGACAGGCAGAATTGGGACCCATTAGAACAGCAGTCAGCAATCTTTACTTTGAAAAGAACAATTTTTGGCCAAGAAACTACAAAAAAAAAGTCTGTCTGGAGCTGCAAAACATATTTGAGCCTTATAATGCCACTTCTCGGCACAAATCAAGCATACCTAGCCAGCGTAGTTAGTGGTAAAGGCAAACAAATCTGTCTGTGCACTATTTCCCTCCAAGACTTTTTATATCCTTAGCTAGCCTAGCTAGGGAGACTCAAGACTAGTAACCACAGCTATTGAGGTTTTGAGGCAAAATATATAGAAAAAAGCGCAAGGTCTGTTTTTTTTAAAGAGCTGCATATGGCTCTGGAGCCACAGGTTGCGTAATAAGAAGTACTTATACTTAAGTATGACTTTTAATTCCTATTTTGATCTCAGTTAAAATACCTGACCACTTCCCTCTGGATTGTTTTTTTCCATTTTTAGTGAACCACCAGTTGTTTCATAAATCCACTAATTTGGTCACTTAGGAGTCAAGCAATCCTCCGATTTAACAGGCTTTCGCAGGGTTGTCCCAGAGGGCTGCTGTGGCAAAGTTTAATCAGTCACTGATTAAAAGCTGTGGAATATAAACCAGAAAGTGTTGGTGCCCTCAAGGATGATAATTATCAGTGTTATAGATTTTCCCACATAAGATGTGGAAAAGTCTACAGAGATCAGAAGCAGTCAGTCTTCTAGGGCTGTTGTTGAGTGGTCAGGAGTAAATTTTAGAAATCATGTTTTTTTCCTTAAAGTTTTATCAAAAGGGCAAGATAAAAAGACAGGAAGAAAAATTAATTCAGATAAACATTATGCTTCATTAGAATGTTATTCAACAAAATTGCTCCTTTTTCATTTATTTCCATTGCAGCTGATTGTTTGGAGTAATATGACCTTCATCATCCAGTGCTTTTCAGTAATCTTTTTCAGCAACAAAACATTTTGTCACAGGTCTTTTTAATTTGATGTAATTTATTTTCTACCACCATTTTATTAAGAATAAAACAGTGATTGTGAATGCCTTTCTACAAGAGTGACATGTATTAAATGGAGACGTCTCGCCTTCACAGGTACAGTTTTAGTGGAAAACATGCAGATAAATGGCCGTGCCCAAGACCCAGGCAGAACAATATCACTGACGTTGCTGGACAACTATGACTACTGGGTGATACTGGAACCAGCACGACAGAGACTCTACCTAAACAGCACTGGACGCGTCCTGGACAGAGATGTAAGTACAGAACAAACTGTGATCTGTAATGATCAATATAATAAGGCAGTTAACCTTGATTGTTACCAGAATTTCATCTAACAGTAACAGTTTAATCTCTAATTGCCTCATTGCTCCTTCATTTTAATACCAAATGTGAATTCACTTTTGTTTAGCCACAAAGAGCAAAGATACTAAATGGAATGTAGCAACAGAGTTGGTGGTCTTTTGTTTCAGTGTATCATGATAATTTGCCTCTAGTGCTAAATATAGTAAGTGAATTAATAAATGCAGGCCCTGTGTCTGTATGTTATATGTTCACTTCAGTTATGCAGGGTATCCAGTAAACCTGCAGCGAATACAGATCAATCTAAATGACACAGTTTAGGATGTGAGATGTGAAGTGCAGGGGGGTTAGCACTGGGTGTTAAGTGTTGTGACTGCTGTCGGAAAGAAACTGTTTTTGAAATGTGTGGTTAGATTATGTGCACTAAGGGGAGGGAGCTGGATGTGAAGCTACTAATGGGTATATATAAGGCCAATTAAAAGGAGAAGTGACAACAGTGGAGGAGCACATTGTAGTCAAACCTTAGAAGGGGGAGGGGGAGGGGGAAGCTAGACAGCTGCATTACGCATATGGCAACATCATCCTTGTTTCAAAATTCAGATGATGTCTGACAAGTAGCACAAGCTGCTGCTGTACAATGTACATTTGAACAGCCCAGGCTGTTCGGGTCCAGTTTTGGAAACCTGCACCGACAGAGCTCAGAACCAGAACCGACCTGTAACAATTATCTCCAAATCAAATTCTGACCCGACCAGACCCGACCCGTTAATATATGACCTGTGATCCAACTTGTGACCCGTGCTAATGACACGGGTCAGTTGCACAATTATAAGTTTAACATGTGGAAACATTCATTGGAATCATAGGCTAATTAACCAACTTAATCACCAACTACGACTCACTACGCTGCAGCTGGGCACTGATGTCAATTAAGCCCTGTGTAATTCTGCTTAATCCATGTCCACACACATTATTAAACAATATGATGTCCCAGATTACAAACTTTTTTACAAACAATTTACTGGGTTATAGTGTCCTTGTCCTCCTGTGGTTGGAGACCTGTGTTATTGGAAAAGTTTCAGTTAACTGGCGCAACACCTGTTCTCCTGCTGCAGCTTTATGTTTCCTTAGAGAGGATGTGCGAGCTTGTGACTTTCACAACAAAAGGAAATCCTGACTGCTGATTAAATATTTTCCTTTCTGTGCTGTCATTTCATTTCTGATTTCTCCAGAAAAAAGACAAGACGCATTTTTGTTTTCTCCCACTGCCCGCTTGCACTTAATTCATTTTTATATAAGTTATATAAAGAATTTTTTTTTTACCCTTTACACAATGTTTTTGTGGGTACCAGACTTGGGGCAGGACTCTGGCCCAGGCTCACACCTCTTCGTTTCATCAGACATTTTAATTATTTATTACATGTAAAAAAACAAAATCAGGCTCCACAGTCCAGCTTAAAATAAAATAACAATAGCCATGATTTGTTTACTCCAATATCATGCTGGCAACATAATTAACAAGAGGATTGCATAGCAATTTGGGCTGAGTCTTCAATGTGAAGATAATGTCCACCAGAAACATTGTAACAAACAAAGTAAATTGGTTCTAATGATAACCCTCGTGGATGCTGGTAAACATTTTTGGCCAAAATCCTCTCTCCTTTCTTTGAACATTGTGTGTATTGTTTGCTCAATTCTGTGCTGGTTATTTGGCTTGTTTACTGGAAGTATTTGAATCCAGCGAAGGTCAGTGGAGTTTATTATTCTATATATAATGCAAGATACTGTTCTGGGAAGAAAATAAAAACACTTATGTTATAGCTTATTATAGTGGCAGTCAACCGTAGGACTAACTGTATGTTGGAAAAAAGGAACAACTTCCATTGTAACACTTAAATGACATGTCTTTCTTTTCTCTCTCGCAGCCCCCGAACTACATCACCACAATTGTAGTGCAGGTCCAGTGCACCAATGAGCTGGTTGGCACTGTCATTTTCCATGAAGTACGGATTGTTGTGAGGGACATGAATGACAACACCCCTCGCTTTCAGCAGCCTCGTTACTATGTTGCAGTAAACGAGGTAAGGGAGCAACTCCTGTTGTTGGTTGTAGTGGCTTGCATTGCTGTCTGCTGCACAAAACTTTTTGATACCAGTGGGGTCTGCAAGGACTTCCACACATAGTTGCTTTACATCTGAGGCCACTTGGGCAAACAGGTCCTGAAGTGTCCAATTAAGTTGTTGAATCAATGTTATTGAAGAACCTGACTGTCTGATGTCCTGCACTTATTAGTTAGTAGTAGTTTCTAGTCAACTATACATTATTATTATGTTTTAGGTTTGACATTTAAAGTAATCACAACTTATATTTTACAACAATAATGTACAATGTGGGTCTACAGTCTTTTTTTCCCACACTGTGGCTGACACGGACTGAGATACAACAGTCGAAGTATTTGTTCTTTTTCCTCAAGTTTGTACATTTGACACATACGTATTAATGCAAACTGGCAAGTCAGGTTCTTGAATTGTGTTGCAGCCTGCTCTGCAGTCAGTTATGTACATCTTGTGAGCACAAGACAGGATAGCTCCAAAATAAACCTGCATCACCTGCAATGATTCAAGACAATTCATCAAGTCTTCTGACTTTACAGTCATGTGTTTTGAGATTAGGAGACAATTTCCTGCTGAGTTTTAGACAACATCTTTCCTCTCTGTTGTGTACAACTTATGTACATTGCGTGTTTGAACTTCCTATCACAGTGTGTTATCACATCCATATGCAGCTGCGCCAACAGTATAGTGAGTCATTCGACATCGCTGTCAACGTCTCCCCTTGAACAAGCTCCCCTGCCCGCTGCCTGGTCCTGTGGACTTTGCTGAGGGCTCTGGGGAACAGCAATGGTTCTCATACTTACTTTTTGTTATTCTGTCAGCAGTGTGCATAAGCCTTTAGACTGCTGCTGACTGCAACATTTCCCCTTTTTGATATTTTCTTTCTTTTTGTATACTAATGGGGTGTAGTGGCAATAGTAATAGCTATATGCATGAGCTCTCTGCTGTAAGTAGACATACTCACAGGGGGCTGTTTGAGCTGTTGACTTTTCTTTTTCCCCACTCCCATATTTTCCTCTAGCTCACACCAGTTGGAACGACCATTTTCACTGGCTTCTCAGGAAATAATGGCGCTACGGACATTGACGATGGACCCAATGGACATATAGAATACAGCATCCTTTACAACCCCAATGACCCGGTATATGGACAAGTCACGCCATGATAAACACCCTCTACACCATTGTAAATTTCTTCAACAATCATGATTTTTTGCTCACATTCACCTTTCTTTATGTCTTATCATATCGATTCATATCTTTTTCAGGCCTCTAACAGAACAGTGAGTGTCGCAAACACCCTTTCAGGACACATTACTCTGGCGGAGAGGCTAAACTATGAGGAAAGAACTCGCTACCTGGTTTTGGTCCAAGCCAATGTAAGTAAGCTAATCTGAACAATCACCATTGATCGTAAGTGTGTAAGACCATAAGTGCCATAAGACCTTAAAGGCTCAATGTACTGATTTATACTATAAACAGTTTATAAATACGACCTGATTTGTACATGTTGCTGGAGGTTGTCTACCTCACCACTGTGAGGATAAAGAAACTCTTAATGCCACTAAACCAAGGATGATTCTTTGTATTCAGTAGCAGCTGCACATTTCTATGTGTAGAGTGGAATTAGAACATTCAAGGACCTGTTTTTTTTTCTTGACCTCAGAGGGTGTTCCCACCAATTGGGTGAATAGGGGATTAATGTTTTGAATATGTTGCCAATAGTTTGCTGCTTGGATGTGTTCTAGTCCTTACATTGCATCATTTCTATTCCTGATTGTAGTTTTACATCAAGGTTTGGTGGATATTCTTTTTTCAGAGATGTCATCATTGTTTGTCAAACAATCCTTTTTATTTTTTAGTTTTACTGGCTGTGCCTGTATATGCAGCTGCTCCTTCAAACTTGCTACATTTTATGTTTTAATTGATATTTTTTGCAACTTATTGCTGAAAACATAACTTGATTTAATTTTTAGCGGCTAATCCAAAATTGTTAAAATCAACTGGATCAGGAGATTTTGACTATGGCAATGGTTGCGCATGCTGATGCTGCCTTGGATAGGCTATTTCCTCTGGGGTTTTTTAAATCTGTTTTCGGCTTTATTGCTGAATCAGAAAAGGATGGGTGGGGTTTGGATTAAATAGCAGCACTTGTGACGACCAGCCCACCATGGCGGGTGCTGTCGCTCCAGGACGAGACAAAAGAGAGCAGGATAGGAGACATGCTGGCCCAGTTTGGACTTAAGGCTGCTCCTGGCTAATGTCCTGTTTGGATGAAATAGGGGTAGAATGTAGGAACTGCAAACTTTTATTTTATTATACAACCTTGTGCTGTAAAAGATTACATTGATTTCCTTGATTTCTTGAAAAGAGGGATGCTTAAAATGTAATAAGAGATTTTTCAGTTGACAGTGTATGGACATTGCATAAACACAGTTAACTAATTCTAAGAGAATACTAAGAGATTGCTCACAGTCAGCAATATTAGGCTGAGAGGCCTCAACCCTCCAGTGTTTCATTACTACTTTTTTTCATTAAAAGTGATTGAAGATGTCTATGAGACGTTCCGAGATAACTGTCTATATATACCAGAGAAGCTTTGCATATCAGAGTTGTTTTAATTATGGATTTTACTTGAGGGAAGGCATTTTCCTTCACACTCTCGTGAGACAACATGACCGAGAAAATATTGTAACACAAGTAATTGAGTATGAATTATAATGAAGGTGATTTTTTTATTCCTGCTCCGGCCCTTACCATTAGTCATTAGGCAGCAAATGTCTGTTGACCAAGGGCCGCCACAAAGCCACTGGCCAAGAATATAATTTTAATTAGAGAAACTCCCAGGCTGGGATCTAAGAGTTTCCCATTCCTGTATGATCAGTCCTGGAAGCCTTATTGTTTGAAAGTTGAGAGTCTCAGTTGGAAACCGTTAACATGCTTTATATCATTATAATTCACTGATCACTGATTACATATTCACTCACCCTAGCAAGAGGTCAGATCTTATTTTCTATACTATAAACTGGAAGAGGTGGAGTACTGGAGGACAGATATCATTTAGCAGTCAGTCTACTTCCTATTCACTACATTTCCTGCATGAGGGAGCAAAAGACTCAAGCCTTTAGCCTGGTAAGAGGTCCTCCAGGGAGATTTCATTTTCTCCTGCAAGAGTATGTCAGAGTAGAGAAAGAAAGAAGACATGGTATTTACTAGAACTCTGCGCTGCTTGTGTCAAGAGTTCAATTACACTGACAACGCAAAATCTTTGAAGTGCTGTGCTGCTCGCTTCTCAGGATACCCCTCTGCCAAGCAACAGTACCACAAGGGTGAATCTTTAAGGATAACTGCTGTAAAGATGTGTTTTATCGCCAAGAATAATTTTCTTAAGAGGAAAAGGATGAGTAGTGCTGTACCATCTGGATTGAAGTAGTCTGATATTGGACATTCTGTTGACTCATAACAGCCCTTCCATTCAAATGGTCAAGTGGCAGACTTTTTACCTGAGTACTAGTTGAAAAACTCAAAGATATGGTTTTATTATGTAGCAAACCAAACAGGTAACTTAATCAACAACATGCTTGTAATTGGCCAGTGTGTAGGATTTAGTGGCATCTAGCGGTGAAGTTTTAGATTGCAACTAATTGAACACTGCTCGCGTCTGTGTTTGACGATCTGAGAATGAGAATGGGCTGTGTGTGTAGGATAGGATATGGTGGCTGGAAAACTTAAAAAAAAAGGCGAAAGGCCCTATCTAGAGAAAGTGTTTGGTTTGTCCATTCTGGGCTACTGTAGAAACATGGCGGTTTAACATGGTGGACTCCATGGAAGGCAACCTGCAGCGTCTATAGATAAAAATATCTTATTCTAAGGTAATGAAAACACAACGATTCCTATATTTAGATGATTATACAATATACCTCTGAATATTATATTCTATTTCTAATAATACATAAAGTTCTAAATGTTATACACTGGACCTTAAAAATATACAGTAATAAGCAAAATAATTTGGATGTTTATATGCTCCTATACAACCTACTTTTGAATTGTGTATTTTCTATCTTTATGATATAAATAAGTTTTCCCTATTGCATTAAGATATCAAATGTGTTATTTAGCAGTGGTTATGGTCTGTTTCCTTAGCTAACCTGGTATTGATGCAGTGTATAGTGTATTTTTTTTTGTTGTTGCTTTATTTACTGTAGAAGGTATTTAAATACTGTTCTACTTAAAGCATAGGAAAATGTGTTGAAGTACGCTTTCCCCTCAGCCAAACAAATGAAGAATAAAAACAGAATTAAGGCATGACCGTGAGCTTCCATAATGGCCACCACTGTAATATATGCTGAAGAACAGCTACAGAGATATGTCATGGTTTTAACATGTTCTATTGATTTTAGCTCCAGCAGCGTGCGGCCCCAGTGCAAAAAGCAACAAATCGTCTGGGTGTTTGAAGGTTGAAACTGAAAGCCTTTGTTCATCTTCCAGGACCGTGCTCCATACCCCCCCAACAGGCGAACAGCTACCACAACTCTGACTGTGGACGTTCTGGATGGAGACGACCTGGGCCCCATGTTCCTGCCTTGTGTTTTGGTGAACAACACCCGTGACTGCAATCCCCTCACCTACAGTGTTGCTATCCCTGAATTCACTGAACCGGTAAGAACCAGGTAGACAGGCAAGTGTGAACACATTGCTGTTCCACAAGGTCATTTTAACAGCTTTCCTCCTGTTAATAATATGTGCATATTTGTATTATCATGCACGCATGTTGTGTTTTTATCTGCTGTCCTGCGTGTGCATGGACGGTCACGTTACTCAGATTTGTGATGCATTTTTGCTCCATGTGTACATTCCTACTAAATGTTAAACTATGCCACACCTGTTAAATAGCATAATTGTCCGCTTACACTTTGTTTTTGCCTCCACACCTGGAGGCAGACTAAGCTTTGCTGTTTTGTCTCAGCATGGTAATTCCAGGGGCATTTTCTGGTCTGTTGGACCAGCAATTAGAGCTGAAGGCTGAGTTGACCTGGGATGACAGCTAAACACCACTGGAGTTCATAAAAGCAAGAAAATACAGAGAAAGATGTGGCAGCTAAGATAAAGGGTCTGAGGTGGAGAGAACAAGTGGTGCACCAGTAGAAATTGGATATAAAAGGTTTAACCATGTGTTAATCTATGTCTGTCTGTCTATCGATCTATCTATCGATCTATCTATTTACTGTGTATTTCTATGCATTAAAGGTCATTAGAATGGACTGAACTCAAGTGAACTGTGCTGAAATACTGCGTTGGACTAGACTGGACTATAGTGGACTAATTAACAAGACAATCTCAACTCAAGGTCCATTTAGTACTGCTATGGAACATCAATTGGCAAAACAATCTTCACTCAAGGTCTACTGACTTGTTTGTTTTGGAGGTTTCAACTTGATAACACAGCCCTCATCAGCAGTCTAGACTAGACTAGGATATAACTGTACTGAATTGAATTGGATTGGAGTAGTCTGGAGTGGATTGGATTGGATTTAATGGACTAGACTGGATGGGGGTTGGGATTGTGGCATCTTCAAGGCACGAGGGTTTGAATCTTAGCAGACTTCTTTCTGTGTGGTGTTTGTATGTTTTCCGTGTCATAACATAGGTGTTCCCATAATCGGAAGACACACTACAAGAGGTGTGAATTATAAACTCGAACTTTCCCAAAGGTGTGAATGTTCTTGTTTGTGTTTTAGCTCTTGACAAACTAAAAGTCTTATATGTTGGAGACCTGCCAGTATAATTATTTTCACACTTCACACTCACTGTTATGAGGTATAGTAGTTAATGTGAAATAATTACTGCAATGTCGAAATGTTTTTAATAAGTGGAATTGCTTTGCAAATACACGCCAAGTTCCTTTGTTGTTAATTGTTAGCAAACCAACTTTTATTTTCATTAGCGCCAATAACTCGAGCGTGATGAAATTGTAGGGTACCTTGCAAATACTGCTAATGTAGTATTGGGAAAAGGCTGCGTGTGTACTGGGTTGACATGTGACACAGGAGTCGAACTGAATTGAATTAAACTGAACTGAGACAGAGAGAGAGATTAGATAACAGAGAAGCTGGTAATAATGACACAATAAGGACACAATGGGAGATATATATATATTGAGAAAATATAAAAGTTATAGATTGATGCATGTACAGTTTACACATGGACTGCATGTGCATATCTGTAGCTGTGGTTCAGGGGGAGCTGCCATAGTGAGTTGTTTGTCCAGACTTTCCATTTAGAGTTTGCCCATGTAATGTATAATTTATGATAAAAGGTTTGCAGACTGCTAAGTATGCAGGACCTGAGAGCACCGGCTACACAAACCAAAGCTTTTTCATTAGTGTGAGAAAATGTTGGCCTTTCTCCCCGTCTTCCCACTACTCACTCTCTAAACACTACATGGTTTCATCCTCCCGTGGCCCCAAGATGATGTTTGGTGTTACAGACTTGTTACATTTACCTTTACTCTGTGTATATGCTTACATTACTCTCAATAGAATGTCTGTTTTACACATTTAGAATTTAAAAGTATTTCTGGTGTATTAAGTGTTCCATAACATTAACCTCCTATTCCCCTCCTTTTACATTCCTAAAACAGTGAACAATTTAATTTCACAACAGTTCTTCTTTAGGAATGGCCTACATTAGCGTTTGCGATTTTCAGTCAGTTTTTTGCTGGTGTCTGATTTTTCTCCATTCTGCAGTGTAACCATTATGCTAACATATCTGTCCATGGGGAGATTTGTCTTCTCATAATTGATGAGTGTATTGTAATTAATCACAATGGCTAGACAGGCATTATTAAGTTGATCTGTATTTATTTTTTGCCCTGGGGGGATATAATGTGGGCTCTGGAGTCCCCGGGATAATGACTGCTGGAGGAGGGTATTATAGCTAATCATCATTGTGCAGAGCTAGGGGGATTTGATTTAGCGCACCTCCAGACATTGTAAAAGCGAGAGGGCTGGGTAGGGAGGGGTGTAAGGATTACTCCAGAGCTCCAGAGATATAAATATACCCCCTCAGGGAGGGATTCTTCCTGCCAGAGAGCTGTTAGCCATGTGCCTGTCTACGCTAAGGAAGTTTAGCACAGGCTTCTTAGCATGCTTACACATACTGTATGAGCCATATGGAGGCATTTTGCATGAGGAGACGTATTCATAAATGTGATGTGCTAAACATATTCCTACTTAGCCATATGTTGATGCAAAAGTGTAGAGGTAGAGCTGGGTAATTAGTGCTGATGGTGTCTGAGTATGCATGAGCAGGAAAAGTAGCCTACAGCACCACAAACAGATTATTCTTGATGTTAAACGCCATCAGGCATATTTAGAAGCATGCTCATGAGAAACAGATTTAATAGCACTGGCTTATTAATTAGACACTCTAGTAATTGGCCAGTGTGCTATGGATTATGACTGTTAAGGCACTGGCCTGCGTCACAAATTTGTTTCTTGAATTGAGTATCAGAAATATTTCATTTATTGTTTATTTTTAGTTTTATTCCATGTTGGCAGCATTTTTGAATAAACCACAATGTGTAAGACTTTTTCCTGAAAGTGTACCTGCTAGCACAAAGGTGGGGCAAGCACACTCTGGCAAACAGAAGCACAAGAGCAATCTTAGCACAATGTGGTGAAAACACAAACATTATTCAGCGGAATACAGTATCAGCAGGTGGTAGGAGGTAGGTCGAGCTTCAAAAATGGCCAATCACAGCAGCTCCTTTCATTCCCTTAAAAGCAGATAACGAGCAGATTATTGGGTCAGGAAGAGAGTCCAGGGCGCCTCCTCTATAGAGAGTGCTGTTTTTATCTGGAGGAGTTACATGTAATATACAACACATGACATAAGATTATACAGCAGTCAAAATATGAATATATTACAACATTTTCCAGGGCAGATGATATCTAGCATAAGTTTTCTTTTAATAAGACTGTAATTTATGTCTCTCCATAATGAGGCACTCAAAGTTATTTTAGGAGAATAGCTGTGCAACTACATAGTCAACAGAACATAAATGGATTTGCATTTGATTGTCTTGCTGTGTTGACTAACTCTCCCACCCCTTGTTGCAGAGCAAACTGAACCCACTGAATGTGACCCCTCCAATCCGGGCCGTGGACATGGACAGAAACATACAGCCGCCATCAGACAGGCCTGGCATTCTTTACTACATCCTGGTTGGTAGGTTCTTCACATTTCTTCATTGATTTTACACATTTTATGTTCTTTGACTCGGTCAGTATGCCATGACTTAACTTCTGAATGTTCATTCTGGTCTGTTCGTGATGGTATCATAAAGTGAACTCAAACCAAAACTATGAATTCTGTTCTTTATTGCAGGTCATCCAGTCACATACTCAAAGTATTTCACCCTGAACAGAACCACTGCAGAGCTGCGTGTTCTGCAGCCTATTAGCAGGGACTTGTATCAAAGGTTCACGCTCATCATCAAGGTAAACAACAGCATTCAATTTGACTTACTCACCCCTTTCTTGTTGCATTAGCAGAACCAGTGCTAGTTTTATTTAATTTTTTTAAGATTACAGGATGTCATCAGTACTGATTGCAAGATTTACAAAAATTACACCAAACTGAAATCAAACAATAATCTGGTGGTGCTGTTAACTCACAGATGTGCAGAATCCTGTAAGCCTACCAAACAGCAAAACATGCATGAATTACAAATATCCAAAAACCTTTCCTGGGGTTGTAGTGTACAGTCATAAAAAAAAATTGGAAAAGTAATATTCATATATAAAGTGAAATGTCAAATTACATTTTCCTGGCCTGGAAAAACAAAGTTTTTGGAAAACAATTTCAGAAATATTTTAATGCAATTCAGTGAATATCAGTTAAATATGACATGTGTTTTTGAAATCACTCGATTTTGGAGCAGACGAGTGATCCACTTTTAACCTACACTCACATTAGGGTAGTAGTACATTGTCTGGCCTGGAGTGACTCTGAGAGGATTGACCGGATTTATCGTGTCCACTGTGGGTCAGTTGTGAACCAAAAGAGTGAGAAGTAGTGTGACTTTAAATAACCTGTGCTTCAGCAGACAGATATTGAGATATTTTAGTCCTTTTTTCTAGCTTTTGGGTTTCAGTTATGTGTTATGAAATGAGATCTCTCTATCTTGCTTTATCTCACCTGTGCATGCAAACTTTCTTTTTTTGTTGCTTCACACAGACATTTTATATTATTTAAGGAGATCCCTGTACAATAGCTTATCAACACCCTAGTGAAAACATTCTGTAGTTCAATTCCTATGAAGCTTTTTTCCACTATCAGTGTTGTGAACTGTCTTGAATAAGAACAAGGTGTGAACAACTGTGACTAGATAATTATCACATAATACCTATATACCTAAATATTAAATATCAAACATAAATAGATTAAGACATTTATATACATTTTTAATTGGATATCTGCACAAGGTAAGCCCAATCAGTTCAGCAAAAATAACGGAGGCACGCACACTTGCTCTGCTCAAGTGTGCAGACCATTCTGATATAATAGCAGACCGCCTGCTGTAAGCGCCGGTACCTCGCAAACTCATAGTTGTTGGTTGATCAGGCTTCTGCTGTTTGCAAAACAACTACCACTCCTAACAGCGAGTAGACCCACTACAGTCTGTCATCCAACACTCTACAATGTCAGATGCTGTATCTAAAAACTAAGCAACAAGAACAGATGATACTGTACAGGGCTTCCCAGGGCTTATGCTGTTTTTATGCTGATAGGATGATACTGAATTATCGCCAATTCCTTTACACAAATGGATACAGCATAATATGCTATTGTCATTACCAAAGTTGGTAGAATGGTAGAATATTGATTATCCTGCTGCTTCTGCATTTTATCATTTTAGTTCAACATCTCAATTCTGTAATGATATTTTTTATGTACTTGTGCCACATTAAGTTTAACTCATATCTCTATAACTTAAGCATGCACCCTTACCTGCTCCACTTAGATAACCTCAGTCCTAAAGACCATTAACCTTATCTTTTGCTGCTTCGGAGATGGGGGTGAAAAAGATGTTATGATTTATGGACTTAGCAGGAGGATGGGCTGCTGCGCCCTCATGAATCCTAATTTCAAGCAGAGTCAGGGATTGCCTCAGTGCTGCTGGTGCAGAGCAGCAGTGCAGATGAACTTTCCATCCACCCATCACTAACCTCTAGACACCTCAGAGCACTGCGTGACCTGCTGTTTACCGGGATAGCTGGAGAGCAAAGAGATGAGAGGGAGAGCTGATTTCCAGGTGAGGAAGGAAGCAAGGGTAGATTGATCATATTAGAGGCATTTTGCATGTCTTCGGGAGGATGGTACATAGCTAGAGGAAGGGAGACAGTTCAAAGGGTAAGCAGGAAAAGACCAACATAGATAGAGTGATGTGTGTGGAGGATGGTAGGTGCCTTATCTACCTTAGTCATAGAGAGGGGGAGAAACCATTGCTCAAGGGGCTGGAATGTGAGAATTAGACTTTGGTATCTTGAGAGTGCTCTGATGCAGCACAGTATGTGGTGTACATAGTTAATGCTTTGGATGGTAAAGGGCTGATGTTGGAATGATCTGCAGCATCACAAGCATATTTTAGATAAAACACATCTGTTGTACTTCAAAAGTCATGATTGATCCTGATGGAGCCATATCTACCAAGATGACTAGGATGAAATTAAGTGACAAAGGCGGATGGATATGGAGAGAAAATGTCTGGTTAAATGGAAAAAAGAAAGCATAGAGATACAGAATGACACTTTAAGGATGATGGAGTCAGGATGGGAGAATCATGACTGAGTGATAAACAGTGACTTTCGGTTGCATTGAATCTCCTGCAGGCCTGTGTGTTGTAGCAGTGGAGCGCAGGTCATTTAGCACTGCCTCCCAGAAATAGGGACACGACTAAAGAGCTAAATCGCCAGGGAACACTGTAATCCTACTCCCCATCTTTTCTCTCTCTTTGGCAAAAATGTGTGTGTGAATGGTGAGAAAAAGAGACAACACCGAGGCACACACACTTTGTCTGTCAATGGCAGCACTTTTCCCTCAGGTGTTTGTGCGAGCAGATTACATCTTTTGGGTCAGCGCAGTGTGGGTGTTCTTTATTATCACTCAGATAAGGGAAAAAGGTAGACGATTTTCGGGAAAGATAGTCTAGCATAACATTGCGATGGCAATAAAAACAGGTGTGAACTTCAACTGGAGTGAAACTCAAATGGATGTGCGAAAAACTGCAAAATTGTGTGCAGCGGGGTTCTGCAATCGTAGGGTATACACACAAGACAATAAACAAGAAATTACAGAGTTTTGTGGCCCCTGCACTTTGCCATTTAGCAAAACTATATTCTTCTGTTACAATCGGCACTCTACAACTCAAGCCCAGTGAAATTGAGCTAATGTGCAGAATTAGTTCCAGGTCATGGCTTAAACTGATGTCGTCTCACTCCCCCTCTCCATCTGTATTTTCAAAGCCTTAATGTTTCTGAAGCATCCCAGTGTGGGAGCCAACAGTGACATATGTGCTTAGGAGGGGGAAGATTGCAGTGACAGCCTGACCATACCATATTCATTTGGTTTGGACTCACTGGGCTGGTGTCAGATGCAACTTGGTAGAGATATATATAAAAGTATAGCTTCTTTAGGCTTTTAAACTAGTTTGAATTTTGATTTATGATAATGTATTATGTTACTGAAGCTGTCACCCGCTAACTGTGTCAGCTGTCAACATTTCATTGAGTCAACATTTCATGGGTATTTAGTTACACTGCATGTTTTAGTGAATTTTAATATTTAATAGAAAGTCTTTTGATTTCATATAGTAGGAATGGGATTTTTGGAGAATTGCTGGCTTTACCAAGAACTATTACCCAATTCAAGTATTTTTCACTTTACTATTTATCCCATATTGCTGTCTTTAGGAGACTTTCAAAATGACATTTAAATGAGTTGTGTCCTATGACTGGATGCTGCATGTCTGTTTTTGGAGAAGGATATCAACATGCTAAAGATAGGAAGAGGTGTCAGCTGGCATTTTATCATATCAGACAGTTCCACGGTTCATTTGAGCTTTCAGGCAAAACTGAGACACAGAAGCGCACAGAATTCAATTCAGTCAAGTTTGCACAATCAGCAATGAAGACAGACCGAACCGGAAACAAGTGCTAGTACACTCATTTACTAGTCAGCTGGTTTTTTTTGCACTAACTTAGCCAGTAATATTTCCAATGAGTCTAACATTGGTCACTTGCTTTACGAAATAGCAAGAGCCACTAATTACTGTCTCTCCCCTACAAATGATGGTATTTGCATTAAGTGCCCTGGTAATTACTAAGGCCTAATCCTAAATGGACTCCTGATTAAATTTAGTCAATGTAGCTTTTTGTAATTGAAATGACACTCGGAGAAATTACTCCTTTCTGTCCCTGTGCTTGCATAAGAGTTGGGGCAGCATAATTCATGCCTGTGTTATTCTCATCATCCAACTCATTATTACTTCTTAATAAATTTCCAGCAGACTGGTTTTCAGACTTTTTTAAAGCCTTGTTGATATTTGACACACTGACTCTCTCTCTCTCTCCCCCCTCTGTCTCTCTCTCATGTTCTTTTTTTCTTTCATTTTTTTTCAGGCTGAGCAGGACAACGGTCACCCCCTCCCAGCATATGCTGACCTCATTATCGAGATCCTGGATGAGAACAACCAGGCACCATATTTCCAGTTTGCCACCTATCAGGGCTACGTGAGTGAGTCCTCCCCAGTGGGTACGACTATCTCAGTCAGCGCCAACCTTACTGCCCCCCTGGGAATCATCGCTTTGGATAATGACATTGAGGAGGTAGAAAGAAAGCACCTTCATTAGCCCATGCTCACTGTTGTCTACACTTTACACATTTCCACTCATGCATATGTGCATACAAACACAAAGCGCTTGTAGTGCAATGAGTAAATATTGATTAAAGGTCCATGTTCACGTATTTGTGTTGTGTACCACAAAAGTACCACGTTCATGAATCATTTTCCTGCTGTATTTGTTTCCTTGTTGTAGCTGGCTCCCGGTGATAAACCTGTAGGTAAAGGGGCTGCTTGTATTTGCAGTGACACATACACACACGCTCTCACACACACATAGTGTAACATAGGGATGTCCCGACTCTATTTTTGGCTCCTATCACCAATTGCCAAGTCCTTTTAATATTGAGTGTCTTCTGTTAACAGAGATTAATCCAATATTTATGTTTTCCAGCATAATACAGCTGCACTGAGCACACTTAATAGCTTAAAGTAGACAAAAAGTCAAAAAGTAGTACATTTATATCAGTAAAGCCAATTCAATTAAGGGATTTGACTGCTTAACAACTCTGCATTAAACCTGCATCACAGCTTTAATTGGTTTCTTACAATATTTTGTATAGCAGTGAGGAAAGAGTAGGTTCAGTGTGGAGCTGTTGAAGCAGGAAAAGTTTGAACAGAATTGAACAAAATGCTGAAGATTAAAACCATTCATTTTGTTTTCTTTGTCTGGTGTATCTGAAAAGTACTCTGTTTGCTTACTGTGGCACAATGTCAGAGTGGATATCATTAATCGAAACTAATGTTTATTTGCCCGCTATGCTACGCATCAGAAAGTTGTTTCAGTGTTTTGTACATATTGAAATTGGGCGGTTTCGACACCTGCCATACCTGGAGCGCAATAAACAAATGGTCAGAATCAGATAGGCTTTATGAAGTCAATGCTGATCCATTAAAAAAAGCTTGATCCCTACTCTGCAAATTGACTCTGGACATCCCTACTGTTAATTCATGCATCACATAAAAAAAAAGGTTAAAAAAAAATAAAGTGAGAGCACTCATCACGGCTGGAGACAACCTAAACATGCAATTATGAACTTTGTAACTCTATTTTGGAGAAAATAAAATTGTGAGGTTTCTGCTGTGTTCACAACAGCAGAAATTGTTTTCTGTTGTTTTATAAATGCTGAATACTAAACAGGTCTCTGGTAGTGATCTAGTAGCTGTGCACTGACTTTTATATTCTTATGGGAGTGTGTGTTTTGGGGAGTTGTTGGGAGTGTTTTGCTGTGCTGTGTTCTTTCTTTATATGCAGGTGGATGTTTTTGCTGTGGTTTCTGCAGTTGCTTTGGTCAAAACTTGCAATTATTCTCTATGAATATAAGCTTTGCTCTCTCAAAATAATTTATTTTATCAGTTGATTCTTGTGTGTAGTCAGATGAAAGAGGTGTTTTTTTAATATTTAACAAACTACATGATTGCATGGGTGCATGTTTCCGTGTGTTTGCAATGTGGAGAACATATTCCATATCTTAACTGCACTGAGAGATCTATATTTAAATGGGTGGAAACATACCGGCGCACAGCTAAAGCAAATGACTGCTACCTTTAGTTCATCTTTCAAAATATCCCTTTACTCAGTCTTTAGAGAAGATTAACAAATCAAAGTGGAGTGGAAACCGAGATAACAAAATCAATAAGCCACCCAGTCCTAATGTTTACCAAACTCGCTTAAGAGGACTCATTGATGGACGTGAATCGAAGCCGACTCGCAGCAATGGACCACAGTGGACTCTGGGTTTATTTGTTAAAAGTCTAACCACAGCAGTGATGACACATCTTTGGTAAATGGTAAAATTTGGACACCCCAAACAAAAGCTGTAAAACTCATATGTTTTAACGACTACTTAATGTGGTCAATATTTTTCCCTATAAAGGAACAGGGGCAATAATGTGTTTATGTTGTTTTAGCAGAAGTAATTTCCTCTCTTTATTGATACAATCATGTCAAAAAGACATTGGTTTCTGGTTCCAGCTTCTTCTTCATTGTTTTCTGAAGAAAGATGAGAGACCTGCCAGCTGATTACTTTTTGAACTCTTTGGCAGATCAAAATGTACTGCTTGATGGTTTTCTCAGCCCTACAGCTGCGGCCTTGGAAACACTGATGAAACACTCATGTCACCATGGTAACATGTTTCTTTTTGTATATCTTTCTGTTGGAAGACGAAAGACCCCATGGTGAAGATTACCTTGGATGACTACACTACGATCTTCAGCCTGACCCCAACTGGGATAATACGCTACCTGAAGCTCCTCAATCCTGTGGATCGGGAGAAGCAGATGGCTTATACTTTCACGGTAGGCCTCAGACCTCAGTGTGGCTATCTGCAAGACAGCACTGAGGCCTTGTGACCTACATCTCCAATTCTGTGTATATTAATAGAAGTCACAGGTTAGCTTTATACCAAAAGGCACTTGCAGATACAAAGCTGACGTGACATTTTTAGAGCACTATGACCTTTATCAGTGGTCAAATAGCAGTGAAGTAAAACAGCCTATTCACTTGAATTTACCAGTTTACATCCAAATGTGAACCAAAGGCACATCAGACCTCTATAGTTGTGTATGTTCATTTGAAAAAATAGACTTAAGTACTTTATACCATATAGAGATTAAGAAACTCATTCATCGATTTGATAGCAGATATACAATACGGCATAAAGAAAAATTCTGCAAATAAAGAACACAAGAATTACAGAAACACTGCAAGTTATGTAGAAAACAATGAAAATATCTGGTCCACATTCAACACACACACGTCTTACCTATAAAGTCTACAGTAAAAATAAAACCTACTCGCAAATCATTCAAACAGTGACATTTTTTTACAAAATATTACATTACAAAATATAACCTATTGTACATTTGATCAATTTGGTGTGACATTTAGCGGAAATGTTTATTGGCTTTCTTGCTGTGAGTTAGATGAAAAGATCGATACAATACCTGTCGATGAATATGAAGCTATAGCCAGCAGGCTGTTACTGTAGCTTAGCTTTGTTTAAAGACAGGAAATTGATAAAAGCAGCTAGTCTGGCTGAGTCTAAAGGTAACAAAATCTCCCTATCACCACGTCTGAAGCTCACTAAATGTCATATCTCACTTGTGTAATCCATACAAACACAGAAACGAGAGTGTTATCAAGCTTCTTATCTATCCCTCAGCAAGAAAGCAAATAAACGCTTTCCCTAAATGTAAATCTCTTCCTTTAAAGAGACATATAAAGGGTATATTCTGTGGGACCTCTCTAATCTCTTAATATGTATCAGATGATTCAGTCCCACTGAACTCCACAGCTAACTTCATGTTCCATTAGGATTCTGAAGTGGGTTACTCATAATCTTCATGATTTATTATTAATCGTCTTACTGTATGGTGTTTTTATCTGGTTTATGTAATGGTTATATGCGTTTTATATAGCAGCAAACAGCAATTTGCTATGTAAAGATATAGTGGAGAAATGGCGTTCTGAGCAGAGAATGAAGTCACACCCCCTCTGGGTCTAGTTTTTACCATTTTTGTCTATGGAGTCTGGTGACAAGTGATTGCAATATAGCAGCTGTTAATCAAAGGCCTCTATCTCTGTAGTGATCCTTTTTATGACGTTGTCTGTGTCAACACACTCAATGTCTGAGTCTGTTGATGCTTAGAATAATAATCTTAGCCTGTCAGTTGCAAAAACAAGTGTTTTTAGTGGACGTACTTTGACAGGCGCATTTGTCCCCAAGGATTAGCTACATGGCTTTGAATGCAGCCCTTTTAGCACTGTGAATTAAGGGTTTATTTCGACCAAACCAGCTTTGGTGATTGTTGGGAATACCGTGGAAAGACTAACAAAGATGGTTTAGGTGAGTTTTTTGTGTTTCTTTCCAGTTTAAAGTGTGTTTTACAATTACCTGCAAGGTAGAATAATTGGTTTTGTCAATAGAGTCTGGTCGGTCATAGTGGCGGTGAATGTCCTTAACTTTAAGTGTCAGCTTTACTGCTTTTACATTGATGTCAACAGTCTGTTAAGTAACTTGTTTTGGCTCTGCTCAGAGAGGTGGTTGTATCTTGGGAAATACAGTCGCTCCTTCCATCCAGGGGGGTTTCTTCTGGATTAGAGGGAATCACTAAACCAACAGTGAGCTCTTTGGGAATGGTTCCCTGAAGAGTGCTGGAGTTTCTGAACAGGGATTGTTCGGTTGACTCTAAATTCTTTAATGTTGATTTGGCGGGGTTGCTTTCAACATCAGCATCAGCCCCTTTTTCTGCTGTGTGTACAGGTTTTTATTTATTTACATGTCCGTTATAGATTTCTCTGTGATTTGGGAGTATATGAGGATTTTAAATGCTGGTTTTATTTCTTGGACAAGTGCTTAAAATAGCTTTTAAGCTCAGGATCCATTCTGACTGCACATTACAGTGAAAGCTGACAGTGTTCCTCTGCTTTTCAGTGGTGACTGTTCAATACATGGCATTTTTAGATTTCCGTTTCCCCCTCAGCTCTTTATAATGGTTTCTGCATTGCGTCTGCAATATCAGATGTAAAGGAGAAATTCACTTCCAGGATCATCAGCAGCATTGTTCTCACTATCTCTCTGACACATCCTCCACATCACAGAATAAAAGATGATGTTTATTGCATGGTGAATATTTTAGTTGCTGTTGTTGATGTTTCCCAATACCTGTAATACATAATATGCTTGATAGCTTCAGAGGTAGATGTATTTCTAATGATCTAACCCTTCTATAAACTCTCTTGTGCAAAACTCCACTTGCATATATTTAGTAAAGTATAACCTCCTTGCTGGTTGCAATGGGTCATTTCATCCTACATGAGGAATTCAGACTCAGCCAGAGATGTCCCGCAATACTGGTTTTACCATTAACTTCAGTAAATTTTGATGATAACACCACCACTGTCTTCAGAGGGCACTGTGTACACAGCGCAATTCTACTGACTTCACTTATTTTGTTAGCCAAGAGGGAACAACTTGTTACTGGTCAAACAGAGACAGAGTGCCCACCGCAGGACCAGTGAACCATGCTGTAGCTACTGCTGCCATGGCTTACTATGCTGACATAGCTTAGTAGTAATGCGGAGAACTTTGCTGCACTATGCTGCACTTGCTCTAATGTTAGTTCTTTTTTATTATTATTTTATCACACTGCAGTTGACACTTACTACAAAGTCCTTGTGTTCCAGAAAGTCTTGTAGACAGGTGTGTCGGACTAGCAAACTGAATTTCATAAAAAAAGAGAGACACAGATTCAGCGATACATTTAAGTCCACTAATCTGTTAGCCTGGCATCGTCAGACTAATTCACAAATTCAAATTAGTCTGGAACCTCTCAGTTCATTTTTGATTTCCAACAGACGCAGACCAAAATGCCTCTGGAAGGAATTGGATCTACCTACAACCAATCAGAGAGTAGTATAGATGGTAAATCAACAAAATCTTGATGTGCGGCTGTTTGTTCTTTTAGAGAAAATATGATGTGATAGTGACAGTTCAGTACAGTAACAGTTCAGGTTTTAGTTATAAAAAGGGCTAAATGGCCAAATAGGTTGCGCTCCCCTGAACAGTCATTGCATAAAACATGCCTAATAACATTTGTGATTGGCTCGAATAGACCTTGAATTGGTGAAAATCAGATGATTTTTGGCCACAATAATCAAACCATGAAAATCTGATACATACCTAACCTATACTTTAATCAGAGTTTGATCCATCTGTCACACTAGACTCAGCAATCCTATTATTATATCACAAGTACATCCTGCTAGCTATTAACATGAACTAACAGGCTGTCAATATATGATGTTTCAGTTGTCCATCTCATAAATCTGGTGGAATCAATACACTTCTATTTAAGTAATGGCTTGATTTTCATTCACATTTTGCCACGTAACTATCACCTGAAGTATCTTTATAAGTGACTCTTCTTCCATTTTCTGGACATATCGTCAATGATTCTGTTGTTGTGTTGTACACAGCAGTGCTGTGCCTGAATGCATACTGTATACACAATGAGGACCGAAGCTGCTACTGACATCCTGCTTTCACTACACAGCCTGTGTAGGTGTAAAAATCATTTAATAGAAATAAAATTGACCTCAATTGACATCATTTTTGTGCACTGACACTTCTCAACCAGTCATTATGTCCAAATCTTACATATGACTAATTCAGTCCATGAGAACATGAGTGAACAGAATGAGATCAATTCTTGAGTGAAATGTTTTTCTGAATTTGAAACGGGTTAAACTGATCTGCAAGTCTAGAAATGGTATCTTGGAGAAATTATCTTAATTGCTTATGTTATCAAACATTACAAGTGAATGCAAAAGCTTGCTAAAAGCTTGTTAACATAATGTTTACTAGATAACAGTATAGAGGCTTTGAAGGTTGTGTTTTTGCTTTTCTAAGATGTTATTTCAGAGATTGTTATTGAGAAAAATAATGTCTTTCTGTAAATGCTAGCATCAAATCAATTTTATAATTACGCTGAGTATCCTGGGCTGGAAGGAGAGGGAGCACACAGATTCAATTTAGATAAATATCAGCCTTCAAAGATTATTATGTTTAAGTTTTGTTTCAGTTCTAACTGTTACTGTGTGTGTGAGAGAGAGAGAGGAAGAGAGCAATTAGGAGGCAGGAATGACATTGTTTAAATCTGTTTTGTGTAGCTATGTTTATGCAGAGACGTGTCAATACTTGCACATGTGTATACATATGAAGTGTCTATACATACAGTTATGATCACTCAGTAAATCCAAATCTGCTTCCCCCCTTGGCTCCCACAAAAATGTCTGGCATCTCTCTCCTGGGACTGGCTGAAGAACAAAAACACTGTTTGATAGGACAGAAAATAGCTGCTGTTGTATATTTGTTATCATGTGTTTCTGTACGACACCTTCGCTGCTAGTGTTTAGCTGCTACTAAAAACCCCTCCTGATGTATAGTGTACAGTATAACCAGCAAGATGTGTCATTTCAATTTCAGCATTGAGTGTACATTTTTTGGGGAAAAGCAATTTCCCCGTGTTTTTCTTGCTGCTGCCACAGTTGATGTTTAGATCTCTTCTCTCCTACACTTCATTTGTTGTTCTTCTTGGCCAATTTTCTTTCTCCCTTGCCAAGTAGTGGAGATCAGAGCTGCCAGGGACAAATAAACATGCAGTCCTTTAGGCAGGCTCTCTCATCTCATCTCTGTAAAGGGTTTTCTAACATTAAGGGAATGAAAAATGAACATAAACAACGGCACAGTGTTAGTGTGGTGGGAGAAGCATGTTGTCTTATCAAAGCAAAACAATCTTGAAAGCATAAACTTTAATTTTACTTATTTATTTAAATAAATGTTGACTTGTCTTCAGTTTCCAAAGCCACTATACTTATTTCTTATTTTTGTGTTTACAGATGGTGGCATCAGATGGCGTCCAGCAGAGTAGCCCAGTAACTGTCAACATACTTGTCATTGATGCCAATGACAATACACCCACGTTTGCAAAGGTCTCCTACAGCGTTGAAGTCTTCACAGACATGCAGCCAGGAGAGACGGTACTACAGGTAATCAATCCAACAATGGTCCTCTCGCCTTTCTTCCTCACTTTTTGCTTTCTTGCTCTGGCACTCTGCTTTACACTTCTGTCCTTGTCTCTCACTCTCAAACGTGTTCTTTTATGCTCAAAGCAAATAAACCACAACAATCCAGTGCATTGTGTTGACAGGCAAACCCCTGGAACAGTTCCCTCCGTCTCATCTGCAGTCATGACAGACAAATTGGAGAAAATGTCCTCTCCATCCTCAGTGCACAGGCCTGGGAAACCTTTAACTCAGTAGATCCGCTGCTATAAGTTATTTAATTGTGGTCGGCATCAGTGATGAACATTTTTCAATCTTTCCCATTGCATGAAAAGGATTTTAAAACAGGTTTTTGATTAATTTTATGGATTAGGAACATTGTTTACTTGATGTCATTAGTGAACTGGATTTAAAGGTTATGATTTTCTTTTCTTTTCATACATGCACATATACGCATGCCAATACCAACTACAGCAAGCATCTGTGCACAAGTGCATGACATGAGGACATGCACAGACACGTTATACATGCAGGCATGGTCTTCAAAATACAACTCCATCCCCCCCATTCTGCTATATCTATTAACATGGGGAATTCCATAATTTCATTGTCATCTTATTTGGTAGTCGGAGCATGATTTTTTTCGTCTTTCAGTTGATCTGTCCTCTCAGTACAGCCACTCCAAAAAAATGTCAGACGCTGAAAAGGTCAAGTTTAATCTGTCTTAAAAACCAGCCGTTTCGCCCTCCCCAAAATGAGGCCAGGGGTCACAAAGTGTCTGGTATGACCGCTTAACCGATTTTTATAAGCCGTTTATGAGAGCCGCAGGCTCCCTGAGGATGCTGCTGCTTATTTGATGCTACAGCTTTTACTCCCAACGTCAGGAGCATGAAAAAGGAGGTCTGGGCAGCCTGGATTAAAGTTTCAAGGCCTTAAAGATATGAAACCAGCTACACCACGAGGGGTCATAATTACAAGCAGCGGGATGCCCTAAATAATTGGCTTGAAGGAAATGGTGGCTGCCTAATTCATTTGATAACAGAGTATGCAAGAAATTATCTATTTATATAGTGCTATATGTTTTTTTTTTCTCATCTTACTTCCCCAAAAACTTTCTCCGGCAGCTTTGTTTCTGTAACTTGGCGATCCATCTCATATGAAAGGTAGAGGGAGTTAATTCCATCCAGTCCCACCATTATTGACCATTAATGTACCCAAAGTACAATCACTAGGAGTCACGAGATTGGAGCCAACAAAAAAAGTTGGTCAGCTTGCAACATCAGTAACACATACACTTTCAGCTAAATGGCAACCATTTGTTCCTATTTAAATGTTAAAAACAAGGGTCATGTGTCAATTAGATGATAATATGGCACCAAACCCCTACTGAGAAATATTTACTGCTTGACTGGTTCAGTAAGCATGATACTGGCAGCTGTGCAGAACCCCCCCTGTAAAACTACAAAGTACAGATGAAAATATGATCATATTTGTATAATGTGTATCTGTCTCTTTCTCTCCCTCTATTCTCCCAGTTAACAGCAGCAGATGCTGATGAGGGACTGAATGGTCTGGTGACCTATGAGATACTGGCTGGGGCCCAAGGACACTTTGTCATTAGTAATCGCACTGGACGCATCACAGTGGCGCCTGGTGTCACTTTAACCGTGGGACGATCTTATGCACTGACTGTCAAGGCATCTGACAATGCACCAGAGATCCAGAGAAGGTACTGCACAATGACTTTGCTTGCTAGATGTCTTTTTAGGTGTGATTTAATTCTTAGATTGAAAGCTTTGTTATTTTAATGTGATTGATGTGATGTGCTTTTCATTACTGTTTTATAAAGAACAGATTTGTTTCTTAGTTGTTGTAAGACTTTCCTATATGCAGTCAGTTTCATTTTTGTGTCTTCTCAGAGTTTTAGGGGAGCAAAAGCATGCGTTGTTTTACAAGTCTTGTTTTATTCAATATGTGCTCATAGCGATTCACAGGTTAGTTTCTGAATAGAATGGAAAGTCTGAATTATGGAGAAATACTATTTCTGAGCTGTTACAAGCCAAAAAACAGATGGCCTTGTTCCATATAACAATGCAGAGATTCAGGTAGAGATGTTTCATACATTATCTGCTCTTTATCTTGTTAATAAAAAGAAATTAATTAACTCAGTGCAAAAGCAAAGTATATCAGCACAAAGTATCAAAAGGTTGGAGTTAAATAAAATGACCACTTTGATTTCACATAGTAAAAGTAAGACTGGCAGTGCCACATTTCAATGACCCAGGATTAAAAGAAGCTTCAGCAGACTATAGCTTGACATAATGACACAATGTACTATGCAAAATGGTTTTTGCACTCCACGTCAGATCATCTTCAAGTACATTTGTACATGTACATTTATAGCAGTTCACCAAAAGATTTCTCACATAATGAATGAATAAATAATGAACACAGTCACTTTCAATTTTGTGTGTGCTGTTGTGAACAACTGAGAACAAGCAAGCAGATTTTTCGCTCACGATCAAATCATGAATGAAAGGCTTGCATTGTGTTTGAAACATTCATGATACCATTGTGAATCAGGTAAAAATCCCACTTAAAAGAAATTAAACTAAAATTCATATTATCCATTACAGTTTTACATAATGACATAACAACACAGGAGTAATTAAAAAAACAAGTCAAATAAATGAGATGATAAAATAAGATAATATAGACAAGAGAGCTTTAATTTGGGATTATATATTATGAATAATTTTCACTATGGGCTAGGTACTTCAGTATGGATCAAAAAGTTGTCACAGTGAAACCGATGCCGTCAGTGGGCTGAGTGTGCTTTTTGTTCGTCCAGGAGCTCCATCACTACAGTGTACATTGAGGTTTTGCCACCCAACAACCAGAGTCCCCCACGGTTCCCTCTCCTCACCTATGGCCTGGAAATCAGTGAGGCCATGAGGATAGGAGCTATTCTGCTCAATCTGCAGGTGAGTCACTGTCAGTTTACTACAGTTTTTAAGCTGATGATTTTTTAAGTATATTGTTACAGTGTATCGGAATTTTAGGCAACAAAATCAACTTATTCCCCTCCTCTCTCACGTTTCACTCTCCAGCAAGCAGTATTCTCACTTTCACTCTAGTCCAAGATCCATGTTGCTCAACTGTCATATCTCATAACCTTCACCTTTAATTGTTCTATATCATTTTCAAGAGTCTGCTTTTATTTTCTTTCCCCCAGGCCACAGACAGAGAAAACGACCCGATCACGTACCGCATTGTGAGTGGGGATTCCCAGAAGGTCTTCAACCTCTCCGAAACGTAAGTCCAGATATTTTTAATTTTTCAGCTACAGGCTACAGACATGCTATAAGGTATTCCCACCACAGACTACTTGGGATGGAATACATAACAGGTAGTAAATTATTGATTAACAGCATTTTGCTCTTCAGTTCCTTTGACAAAATGATTTTAAAATGAAAATAGGAAAGGAAATTGTGTAGTTTGTCTTGTGTCTGCGTGGGTTTCCTCCAGGTTCTCTGGTTTTCTCGACATGCAGGTTACTCTAGGTGGACTGCAGATTGTAAATAGTTAATTTAATGTAAATGTGTGTGTCTATATTTTCTGTGCCCCACCTCTCTCCCAATGTATGTTTAATAGGATAAGCGTGATGAATGGATGGATACAAATGCTTTGTGAGGTTGCAGTCCACCTAACATAACAAGCCCCTAGCAAACTATTATAGTTCTTCAAGGACACTCTTCAAATGCTGACATCTTAGTTTTAGAGTTTATTGAGGTTTTTGAGCAATAGGACAAAGCTGGCTGGTTTATCAAAAGCTTTATTGAACTTACAAAGGCTAGACATGGGCAAACAGTAATAATACAGTGTATATGTTAAAACAGTGTTCTTCCCCTCACTGTGATGATATGGAAGAAGCCCTTTAAACAAACTTGTCAGCTAGGTTGTGGGGAAGAAGGAGAGAACAAGGGATGTGCAGTTGTGATGGTACGGAGTAAATACTGACTTATTGGTTTTGGCTGATTTATTTCAGGCAATATATTATTTTGTTCTATCCAGAAAAACAAGTTTAAAAGCACACCTATTTACCCTCACTGGCTGCTTTGGGCCATTATTTGTGCCCATGACGCCAATGCTCTAGTCAAGTCAATTTTACTCATATAGCCCATAATTACAAGTTTGCCTCAAAGGGTTTCGCAATCTGTATGGCATATGACTCTCAATTCTGAAACTGCCCAAAAAAACCCTTTAATGGTAAAAAATGGAAGAAAACGTCAGGAAGCAAAGCACAGGAATGCCTCTTCCAGCACAGATAGACATGCAATAGACATCATATGTACATGTGTATGTTGGGCGGCTGCTGCTCAGGAGGTAGAGCAAGTAATCCATAAATCAGAAGGTTGGAGATTTGATCCCCGGCTCCTCCCGCTGCATGTCGAAGTGTATGAATGTGTTTGAATGGGTAAATGTGGCATGTAGTGTAAATTGCTTTCAGTTGGTCGGATATATGTGCAGTCCATTTCTCTTTTATATGGTAGAGAGTATCAACAATAGTAAAATGACATACTGGACAAACAAAATAACAATTTTGTCGAAATAGAGTGCAAACATATGGTGAATATGGATTTTGGAAAATGTCAACCAACTTCCAGGTGTAGCCTAAGATAGAATAGACTGCCTTATACCAATATATGGAACCAAGATGCAATCAATAAATATTTTTAATAAATTAATTTATGAATTCATTAATTAACTGGGACTATATAAATAAATATATCTTAGATCAGAGGTCTACTGTTTTGCGATTGGTTGCAATTTTCAAGAAGATAATATATTGCTCAGTGGTGTGATGAAGTGATGTAAAGAAAGTTCCTTTCATATATCATCAGAATACCACTGACCTTTCTGCTGTAGCCTACTATGTAAACTGAAAGAAAACAATGGGAGATTTTTTACCAAGCCAGGGCAACTAGGTCAGAGCTAAATTATAACTCAGAAGGAAATGTTCTGTGGAAATAATGATACAGAATAACACTTTATTTGATTGCTGGAGTTTGGTTTTCCTCACATGTTCTATCCTCTTTCTCTCCAGCTCCAGCCTTTCTGCTCTCTAAGAGAAGACAATATTCCTGGATATGAAAAGGGCCCTAAATATCTTACCTTACCTCTCATAATCAACATAATCATTTAAAAAAATCTAACTCTCTCAACTACTACTAGGGAGCAAGGAGAAGGAATAAAATATTAAAGTGATCAGTGCTTTTTACCATCCCTTAAATAAGCAAGAAAATATGGAGAGAAGAGACGTGGGGAGACTGAAAATGCAGGACCCTGCCAGACACGTTTCTCACTAATTGATTAAAGCCTCTTTTGTCTGCATCCTCAGTCTCCCAGCTATGCAAGGGCAAGTTGTGTTGCAGCACTGTATCCCTGCCATTTGTTTACTCTCAATCTGCTCCACATTGTTTGTTTTATGGAGGGATGTTTACTTAATGGTTTCATAGTGTTAAGGGCAAGCAAAAACATGGCGACACGATCAAAACCCGAGCCCGAGCTATTGTTGCCGATGTCACTAAAATCTCTTAAACCAGATGTGACCGAAATCTTATGGAAATAGATACACACACATTCTGCTTCAGTACATTGTCTGTGTGGCAGGAATATTACAATCCCATCAAAAGTTGTATCCACCTAGCAATATAATAACTTCAAGCAGGTGCTGATAAAGCACATGAATCAAAGAATAATTAGCTGGTACGCTTGATGAGTGCGCAATATACAGAGCCTTACTTCACACTCTCATTATTCAACCCTTCAGTACTCCAGGAAGATTCAGTGAAGAGATTTTTGCATTGCTGCATGTTCAGATTCAGGCTACATATGGGGCTGGTTCAATCCAGCTATTATGAATAATGAACTCTGCAGTCTATAACTCCCTATAAATGGGGCAGGTTCCCCTGAGGGAGGTGGAAATGCTTCAGATACACTCCCCATTATGTTAGTGAGCAGGATGCAGCCATGAATCAGTGACTCAGAGTTTGTCAGCCACCAGGCACTGTACGCAGAGTATTCAGTAATGACATGTTAAGGATCGCTGTTAAACACAATAGTAAACAAGTCTAAACAAGTGTTTCTAATGAATTTTTCAGGTTCTGGGGGGACTGGCAGGTAAAGGTCCAGTGTGTTACATTTAGTAGGATCTATTGGCAGAGTCTGTCATGTTGAACCCTAGAACAACAGTAGCCCAGAAGGGACAAACCACTGTAGTTTTTCCTTAGTGCTTGGAAAAGTGAGTGAAGTGAGCGTGTTGTTATCTGCATCTACGAAGCTAGATGCCGCTAATTCCTACATACTGGACTTTGATACATATTCCTGTTGTAACATTGAATATTATGGCCAGTGTCAGTTTGGAACAAAATTATGTTTGGTCAAACAAAATAGATCTCTTTGAAGCCAAAGTTTTTGTTTTTTTTGTCAAGTCTAATAAGAAACCTACCTAGAGGCCATGTCAACTTTGATATTTGAACTTTTTTCTGTGCTTCCTTGAAAAAGAGTTCAGGAGAAGGTATCCTTTTTATTACCCTGTGAACTCGAAACAGTCCACTTCAGTTTTAAATGAATAGACTCAAAAGCATTTTATTTAAATCTGTCATTCATTTCTCCTTGGGGAATCACTAAAGTTTATCTTAAGTGAGAGTTATCCTATCAAAGTTATTGTATTTGAAATAAAACATCCATGCCACTTCAAACTAACATCCTGTACATCAAGTCCTATTTACCATATAGAGACACAATCTGAGCAGAATAAAAGATCAAGAGACTGTTTGACTGGGAAGGATAGCCTCTAACCTGCACCATTGTCACTCTGTACCGTGCTGTTAACAGCATCTAGTCAGTCTGACAACATCTTTTCATTTGTGGTGGCTGGGGAGAGGAGGCAGGACGCTATCACAGATGATCAGTGAACCTCTCAGACCCAACCGCTCAAGTGTAGTTCAGCCCTCCAGCTGTAGTAGGGAATAAACTCCCTAGGCAGGCTAAGTAGCATTAATCATTCTGATCTTTGTCATCATCACCATAATATCATCACAATGATCACTGTATATCTTCATTATCATATTCACATCAAAGCTTCCTGTACCTCTTTAGCTTCATTGAGCACAGCGAACATTATTTTCTACTCTTATGCTTATGTATAAATAAACATGAGCGCAGCAGCAACTGAAGGATGGTGCTGCATTTTTATGGCATTTTTAGCAAGCTGTGTTTGCCCTCTTGAACCAGCGGTCATCAGGTGTATTGGATTCAAAGCAACGTGTTCACCGTAACTTGGGGGCAAGTGCGTAGAGAAATAGACAAGGTCAATCGAGGTTTCGGTAACACGCCTGTCAGATTTAAAGATGTGGCTCTATAGTTTGACGGTTATGGGCCGGAGAGGCAGGAAAGAAGTAGCGGTCCGGTTATGCTTGGACAGTTTGGCCAAAGTAGCTTTAAATTAGAAATGTGAAGGTGCAAGGGGACAGCAGGGAATTGCGACGGGCATTAATCTAGCAGTGCGTTCAAATGCATTCGTCTTTCCTTCCATTTGCGGTTCTGGCAGAGACTCTCCTGAGTGTGGCTGTGAAATTGTTTCGTGCATGGTGTGTGTGTGTGTTTGTGTAGGTGTTTGTGTTTGCGTTTGTGTTTGTGTTTGTGTGTGTGAGTCTCCACTTGCACTCACGTGTCTTGTGTGCCTGTGTGTGCAAACAAAGATAATTCAGTGTTCTGCTTGGGAATGCATCCACACTTTGTGTTTGGAATGCCAGAGTGCCAAATTATACCTTGTGAACGAGCAGGAGGGCCGCTGTGTCTGCTGCAGTCATTGGAAAGAAAACATGAATCTTTCTGTCTCTAGTCCATGTGCTTTGGGAGCAAGAGGCGGGCTATGGAGAGAGAAAGACAGAGTGGGAGCATTTAAAAGCCCACCTGCTCTTCTCCCCAAACTCATCCTCCTCTATCATCGACCATGTTTTATAAATCTGTCTAATCTGAAGGAAAATAAACTCCAAAGTGCAGCCTTCTCTGCCACCCTCTATTGCATCAGCTATAAGCTATTGAAAACTATTGTTGTTTATGTGACATAAAGAAGCAATGCTATGCAATGTCTACACAAAGCCCAATTTTGTGTTCCCTTCTTGTGAGGTAGTTGTATTGATGTCTCTAGTTGTTTGTGTGTAATAGTAATACAGGTGTCTTCTCTGACCCCTCTCTGCAGGATTGGCCTTCTACTTCTGGGAAAGCCTCTGGACAGAGAGACCACAGATCAGTACCTTCTGATTGTCACAGCCTCCGACGGCAACCCTGGAGGGGTAAGGCACAACCCTCTTTAGTAAATTATTGGCCTGATTCCTCAGGGTGGACAATCCTCAAACATTTTGAACACATTAAGCTGAAATAAGATCTTTTTTATACAAGCTTATTAGCTCTGAAATTTGGCTCACTGAACCCAAGTGCTTCATTAGCCTGGAAAATAAATCTAATAGTGCATTTGGACTCAGAGTTTAATACCCTCTGGTTTTGTCACAGATTCATCAAATTTGTGGTAGTACTAGGAGTCAGTAGTGCCACTTCATTGTAGCAAACCAATGTGACACCAGAATAATAAGGGCTGCCTGCACCTATAAGGCCATAAATTGCTTTTGGAAATTATAATTTTGTGATGTTGGTAACCTGTTTAGTTCCTTAATAGGAGTTCTTCACCAGCCATTAAAAAAGGACTGCTGTGAATATAATTGTGCAAGGGGTAATAGAAATCACCTCTTAATTAATTAATTAATTAATTAAAAGACGTTTAAGTTTTTCACTCCATTGGTCGGTTGCTAGTACAGCATGGTCCTTGCTCAGGGCTTCTTCTAGCATCAACGTTTGTAGTGCAAATAGATGCTTACGCCTGCTGTTAAAATTTGACATCTGACAGAAGTATGTTTTGTTGGTGTTTATTTTACCTACAGCAAGTCTGAGCTATCAAAGCAGTTTTGCTCTACAGATGTTGAACAGCTGTGTGTTTTAAATGGCCAAAGTGTTGTAACATTGTATCCAACATGCATGAGTTCAAAGTCCAGGTGAAATGAAAACTGACATTTTAACCCTTTAAGATTACATCCTCAATTATAGTGTACCCCTATTTAACAATGTGTGCCAAAAAATCACAAAAACTTAATTCCATTGTATTTTTATATCAAAATCCAATCATTTTGTCTTCCTGTAAAACAAAATGTGACGCGATTACTAACATTAACTGATTTCAGCCAATGATATCATGACTGTTAACTGATAGCTCCCAGTCTCAGCAGAGTCAGCCAGTGGGTCCACTACAGCTGTTAGACTGGACACACAAGTCTCTTACTAGCTGCCTGTTTTTACAGGAATAACATAAATATGCAAAAGCAAATAGCACTCTGATTTCCATTTCATGTGGACTGTCTTGTGTGTAAAAAGCAATGGTCAAGATGGTAGCAGCAGAGGTTGAGACGTCCAGACTTTCAGTTCCTAATATGAGTCGAGCTCCAAAAACACTGGATCCCAAATATGATGCAACTGATAGCATCTTTTAATTAGACCATCCCCGTCTAGTAAATGCCCACCTTTCTAAAACTTGTTTTATAATTGTGTATTGTACAAGCCCAAGCTGTGTTATCACTGTTACATCAGTTATTTTCTCAAACTCGACAAACCTCTTTGTTCAGAGCTACAGAGGAGATTATACAAATATTTTTAGCTGAGTTGTACTTACTAGTAAAATTATCTTTAATTGCAAAAAGTTCCCCTTTAGAAAACTGCTCATACGACATCATTACGAGTTGTTGTGTCTTTTGAGTGTTTACATTCACTGAACTGTCTCTGTAACTTAGCCTAGAGAAACAGCAGACACTATAACTGAAAGTGAATGCTGGCTGCTCCATCTCCCACCGAGAGCTGATAATCATATAAACCGTCTTAATTTAATTAGACTTCACCTCAGTTGGCTCAGCTTTTGCAGCTGTCTCTGATCCAGACAGAGGTGAAATGTGGTTTCCTTTTTAAGATGCTGTGTGTGATAGGGTAATGAACATTAGCTGATGAGCTGTCACAGTAGTGATGTTGATTGCCCCCCTCTCACCTGGGCATACATAAAGAGTCAGATCTACAGCTCCTTTTCATCTGTTGGCAGACTACGTGTGTTGGTCAAGTGGAGCTGTATAAGGGGCATATGTTGCTGCCAGTGTGTCCCCGCATTTGTGAGTGCTTCAGAGCTGTTGGAGCGCAAATGGTGAACAGAGTCAAACAGTTAGCGGGAGGGGCAGGGGAAATGGACAGTGACAGGTTCAGAGAGAAAAAAGCAAATAAATAAGGAGAGTGTAAGATAGGACTTCACCTCACAGAATGAGGTAACCACATGCTGGTGCTCTTTGTCCTAACACTGATGGACAGATTTTTCAAACCGACACCCTTTACCTGTGTAGTGTGTGTGTGTGTGTGTTTGTGTCTGTGTACGCAAAACGTCTTGTCCACAGAGTGAATTACTAGCTGACTCGTGTGTGCTAAATGTCACAGCTAGGAAGTAATGCTTTCGCAACAGCAAGGACGTTGAAATGAGGAGGCAGAGGGGTAAAGGGCTGCAGGAGGGTGGATGTGAGGAACTCATTCAGTGAGACGAAGTACCACGAGGAAGGCTGGAGACAGGGAAAGGATCAAAATAAGCACAGTTGGAGGGGACAGAAAGGAGAAAACCAGAGAGAAAAGGAGGGGGACGCCAGGGATTCGGATGTGTAATTAGCACAAAACTTTGGTAACCATGGGAACCTGACACAAGGAGTGAAGCAAGCCCCCCTGGTTCTACTTCTCTTTGAGTGGTCAAATCCGCACACACACAATTTTTTTTTTTTTGCTTGTTGAGTTTAAATCTAATATCTGCCAAAAATGAATTGTGCTAATCTGTGTGACCAATTCAAAATGTATATCCTCAATAGTGCAAGCTGTAATCATAACCACCAAGCACAGTCAGATACAAAAAACTCATCCAGGGATGCTGGATAAAGGTGTTCTTCTGCCCTCTGAGGAGAGAGTGCATGACTCCTAACAGCTTGATCATATCAGTCCCTGCAACATGGCTTCTGGTCAGGGTTGTCACATGAAAGGCAAAACACCATCAGCTACTTCTGGATCTTTCAGACAGTGAGGACAGGAGGCGAGACATCACACAGCTCTATCTATTATATGTTAAATAAATAATAGCAGCTCATTAATCACACTCATGGCCGTAGAGGTAGGATTTTTAGCTTTGATAAGAACACCCACGCTAGGATGGAGATGCCTATTGGCTTCAGGTCTTCTGTGAAATGAGAAATAAGTAGATTCCATCATTGAGCTGATGGTGAGTGGCATCCTCTTAGTTTTAGTAGTAAAAGAGGCATGGAGTGCAATGGTTTTCAGCATGGGTTGCCATGTCAATTTGTACTCGAAAGGACTGATTATGTACGTCTCAGAAGCTAGAACAAAGGAAACAACAATGGTGAAGGAATTCCCAACAGACAGTGAGATGAAGTTGACACTAACTAGGCCATTTCCTTTGTGACATGTGCTGCTGAATGTCTCATCTGCCGGGGTAACTTCAAACAGCTATCTCTTGGGAACTATTTTTTTCTTGCAAAGGCCAACTCCTCCCACAACCCACCCATCCTTCCTACCCCAAAGGAGTCCACTTACAACATTATTTGCATATAGTTTCGTCCCAGTGCACTGAGAGAATATGGATTGTGCACATTCAGCCATTTTTCTATGTTGATTTATAGTAGTGCTGTAGGTGTGTCATTGTTTGAAGGTTAATGGATGTTACATTGGTACACATTGGCCCTGCAAATGAATACCTTACATGACGCTAAGGGGAATTTACTTTGCCCAATGAGCTTTGGGATCAGATAAATCCACATCAATAAACATTATATAAACCACTAATAAACATAATGTAAACATGCGGAAAATGTTGACATCCTGTAAAGTCATAAAGAGTCCCAGTGTTGGTGTAAATTTGTAACTGAATTCTGCATCCTTGAACCTTTACTCTTACAGTGAAAGTGTATAGGCTAATTAGACTAAGGAAGATGTGATTGATCGGATTCCTTGCTTTCATCCTTTTTAAGACTATGAACGTCTGCACAGAATTTCATGGCAATCCATCCAATAGTTGTCAAGATATTTCCGCCAGGACCATAGTGGTGGACTGGCTAACACACTGATAATCACTAAAGCCCCACAGTTTGTGTGGCTGAAAATCAACACATTATGATAAAACACTGGTTGTATAAGTCTTTTTTTTTCGTAGTCTTTATCTGATCTAATTCCCATTAGGTGAAAGTCTAACAAAAGCTTTAACATCTATAGTTATCATGTTGGCTGACGAAATCATTGGCAGAAAATGTCAATATTAGGACAGACACCGAGACTAAGACTTTTTATGAGAGCAGAGTTTCCCCAGTGTTTGCAGTATTTTTTACCTGTGGACGAAGAAAAACTGGGATCTGACTAAAATAAGAAAAAACGATGCCAGCTTTCATAGCTAACTGTAAATCTGCAGTTTTCTGATGTTAATAAATAGGATTTGAAAGTTCTACGAGATGTCTCAGGTTTTTTTCCTTCCTCGATGACAAATGAAAAGCATTACAGTAGTTTGACCAACAACTTGACATTTGAAAATGCTTTTTGTTAACATTTAGGGTAGAGCAGTTGTTTCAAATGATTCGGCTTTTTATGTAATGGGATGCTTTTTGACATTTCCCTAAACTAGGAATTATTTATGAGTTTAATAGTGCACTTTACAGGGTTTGTTGCAGCATATTATAGCAGAAGTCTGCCGCCTCGTGAAATGAACTACAGTTTACCACTGCTAACCATTGTCCTTGGAAAACCCTGCTTTGCTTAGTTGGCAATACCTCCTAACTTCCTCACTGAAGCAATAATATATTTGCATTCAATTTACTTGGGTGGTTAATGATATTTTAACTGCTCACTAGAATCTGTCGTCTGTTTCCGAAATGTAAGATTTTGTCTGTAAATGCCAGTTCTCTCCTGAGAAGGAAGTGTCTGACAGCAATAACAGTTTAGCACTTGGACCTTGTTTCTTTTTTCTTTTTCTTTTGTTTCCCATTAATATTGTCTACTAGTGTATGACTACTATTCTACTGTGTCTTTTGCTAACCAGTAATGAAACAAATGTTGGGTACTATTTTTTTTGCATCGTGAAAGCTGCTAATCTGTGCTTTCTTCACAGCACTTTTTTAAATTACACCTTTTGTTTGTACTGTTTTAACGGAACACTGAATAACATTGGTATTTATTGTCCTCTTTGAATTTTTCTCCTCTAGACGTCCACTGCCACTGTGAACATAGTCGTCACTGATGTCAATGATAACGATCCTAAGTTTGACCTCACCCTACCTACTAATTTTACTGTCCAAGAAGAAGAGGCCAATTTGTTTGTAGGACAAGTCAGGGTAAGTGTGACATTTTTTAAGACAGGTGGTCTTTTTCTTTTGAAATGAATAAGCTGCTGTTTCACCAACTTCCACATATGCCTCCTTTTCAGCTATCCACAGTACATCACATTTGTTTTTTTCACTGTTGCATATCCACATGTTGTTTCCTTAGAATTTTTACTGACCACTAAGTCACAAATGTACCTCAGTTCTTAAAAAATGAACTCCATTACAAAATGATCCAGCCTTTTACAACATGGTTGATGTTGTTGGACGGATTTGTCCATCAGAGCTGCATCCCTGTTGACTGGCTTGGTTCAGCACCACAGAGCAGCCAGATTTTTCTAATTACTGTAGATTAATTGGCCTGATGTCTGTCAGTGGATTAATCAAGGAATAATGACAGGAGACATCCTCTGTGAGTATGCACATACAGTGCATGCTTACACCGTGGCAAATGAAGCAATACAATCCAGGGGTCTTGGTTTTTTTATTGCCTCTGTTTCTTTTACAGATTCACTTCCTGATTTATAATAGCTCTGCCAAATCCTTACATTTCCTCAAAACTTGCTGTCTAGAAACTCAATACAGTTCTGAGTAGTTTCAAAACAGTGAACCAGGAGACATTTTGGGAGGTTTGCAGGGGTCTTTGGGTGGTATTACAAAATCAGACTGTATCTTTGTTATAAAAAGACTTTGGTCCAAGCAACTGCTCTTTGATGCAGGTTTATATTATCAGAAAATTGAAATGGAATAATTATGGTCCACAGTGTGATAATTATTAAGAGATTTAAGAAGATTAAATTTGATAATAAATGCATGTAATTAGTTTGATAATTACCAATCTAACCTAATCAATTTGCATGAGGAAATTCTTGAGTTATTCTGGTTGACATATTAGTGTACCTTGTACAAAATATAGCCCTACACTTTAGTTTGGAATGTCACAACACTATTTGTATGTAAAATATCTTAATTTTAGGTGGATAAAAAAGTGTTTGTGGCATTAACCTTTATCAATTAAAAATGTTTTAATATTAATATTTGTGTGATCACTTTAGGCAGTCACCAAGTACATTTTGATTAGAATATTGGTTTCTGTGCCATTTAATTTCCCTATAATTACTTACACAAACATTTTACCAAGGATAAACAGGCCCTCTCATATCAGTCACATTTTTCACCTTTCAAGATATATAGTTTTAGCATTAGGCATCCCATTACATTTTTCAGGGGGTAATAAAATGGACTACCAGAAAATGTTGCAGGTTTATGAACTGTAAAATAAGACAAAAGGACATATGAAGGAAGCTTGGTGTTTGCAGGTTACACTACCTTCAGTTGCACTCCGAAGTATTTCCTCACAAATGCAGCCAGCAGCCAGATTTTGGGCTTAGCCCACCCCATCGTCTCTCTCTCTGTCCTGCCTCAGAAGGTTTTCTCAGTTGGCACCTTGCCAACTTAAGCTGAAGCTTGCCTTTCTGACTGAAAGAAAAGTACATTAAAGTACTTAGCTCAACAAAATCCTGCTCTCCATGCACATGCACATAGAGAGGCTACAGCTTAGCCTGTTGTAGCTGATCAAAAAGGGATGGAGCTTTTTTTTTCTTTTCAATGCTGCACTGAGTCATAAAATCTCAGCACATACATTCTGTAGTCAATCAGTGAACATAAAGATCCTCCAATTACGATTATGTGCCATACCTACGCAGACGACACCCAGATTTATTTAGCTCTTTCACCAAAAGACTATGCTTATTATTCACTTACTGTCAGTGTTTAGAGCAAGTAAACAAGTGGATGTGAATGTAGTCTGTTATCTGGTCTTTCCAAAAACCATTAAACTGCAACCCATTCAGAAGGCTGCTGCTAGTGTTTGAACATGAACTAGGAGAACTGACCACATAATGCCTACTCTTAAATATTTACACTGGCTACCAGGTAGTCTTAGATTTTATACAATTCTGATATGTTTGAAGAATATAAACTCTTATTCTTTAGGAGGCAGTTATCTTGTAATGCCTAGAGTCACAAACACATGCGGTGATATTCTTAAATTCTCCCCAACTTTATCTACTGTCAAATCTCAATTAGAAACTGTATTTTCTTCTACCTTTGTATTATTGATTTAATTACATTGAAGCTGTTCTACAACTGTACAGTTTTTTTAGAATTCAATTTATCTTTATTAAAGTTTTTCTATTCAAATATATGTTCCCTTTAATAGACATGTTAAATGATTCAAATGTTGTTTATGCCCTTTGTAAAGCACTTTGAGTTGCCTCAGTTTATAAAGTGCTATAGAAAAGGGTATGTCTTAGTTACATAAATCAGAATAACTTTGACTTTTAAAATGTGATGACATGTTGGATGCTGAACACAGTTATCTCAATTGAAGGCAAGTATATACAGAGTAGACTAGAACCGCAATGCCATTAAAATTCAACATACACATACTATCTCTGTCTCCACTGTCTCCTGCTAGTATCCCTAGTACCCAGCTTTATTTATCGTTTGTCTCCTCAGCTTAATTCTTTTATGGTGGAGATTTTTCATGCAATGATTCATACTTGCATCTTGAGAGATTGTGCTCATTGCACAGTATTTAAGGAGACCATACCCTTCAGGTGGCTTCAAAATAAAAAAATCACTCGGGCTGTAATGTAAATAACACAATTGTTAAGGTGCAAGGGAGACAGACTACTTATACTCTAGAGTAGCTCTGGGCTCTTAGTTAATAAATTCCCCAATTTTTGCATCAAAGACATGTGGCATTTAAATTCTAAGTGCCAATCACTGTATATAATGTGTATGAAAAGCCCCTTTTCTTTACATTGTCTTAACTCTCACTTAGCTTCATTAAGTCATGCACAAGGCACACAGGCAGCCAAGAGGGATGAAATGTAAATGTAGGGGCATAAACTTTTGGTCTTTTATTTATTTAACAATATTTGCAATCCAAGGGTGCAACACAGAAGGAAGACCAAATGTTGAATGGTTTTTTAACCAATAATAGAGTTCATTTAAGGTGAAAACAAAAGACGTGTGTGCAGGAGAAGAAATGCTGCTGCTCAGATCTGTCGAGTTTGTACTCTTAGGGGGACACCTGACATTGACAACTTCCACATCGTCCACGTACCAATGGTGATAGAGAAAAAGGGAGAAGCAAAAAGTTGCGGAGCCAGAGCATCATCACTTAACGTATACCACTTAAGTATTACTCTGTGTTTCATCACCCACCTGATAGGCTGACAAATGTTCTGTAACTGCCAGCTATCTTTCTGCAGGTCTGAATAACATCTTGTGATGTGGATTTTCTTTTTAAGAGCTTTGTGTGCAAGTGCATTAGAACTTTATTGAGCAAATGTTGACCCTGTCAGAACAGCAGCCTATAGCTTACTGTAACATGGCACGCTAAATAAAAGTCAAGTGACAGATGAAGTAAGGGATGAGATAATGACAGCTTGACTTGAATAATTCCACATTGAAATGTAATGTGTTACTGTAAAATCAGTTTATCTTTTCCTATAGCGTCTTAAATTTACCTGCAGAGAAGGAGTAATAATGCAGCCAACCACAAGGCCTCAGGCACTTGCCAATGGTGAAGATGACTGCATAATGCTATTAAGTAGCTTAATGCTAGTCCTAAAGCGTTTTGGATTATTGTTACAGTAATTGGAACTGGTTCCCACCTGTTCTTATTTTACACACACTCACATAGACCGGAGAAGATTTACTAGGTTATCACAATTGACAGCATTGCCGGTTGTGCTAATAGAATCATTTGTTCTGTGACTGACAAATCCTGCACCATACAAGCCCATTCTGTTTGCTCACAGCAGGGAGCCATAATCTGAGCATGCAGATGACCGGAGGACAAATCGATTAGCATTCATGTCAGACACATCATGGAATCGTTATGTAGAATTGTTGCTAATTGGAGAGGCTGTTAATGCCCATAATGCCTTTTCTTTTTGCCAAGCTGATTCCTTGATATAATGAGATCCTGCTCCTAACTGAAGATACTTGTAAGCACTGCTATGGTGCTTTTTTACTTGTTAAACAGTTATCACATGTTATCAATTTATTTTTTTTGTTTTTGAGAGGCTGACATCAGTGCTTAACTTTCTGTTTGAAAATACTGTGCCCAGTGTGTAGTGAGACAGTATAAGTGGGCAATTCAATTTTAGGTTTCAGCATTAATCATCCAGAGCAAGATGAATATGCTCTTTTTGTAAATGCAAAAAGAAAAAAAAAAAAACACTGGACCCAGGCCGACAGCACACAAAGGAGGCACATTTCTCAGGTACTGCATATTAGATGGTCTGCATGGGCCTGTAGCTCAAGCTACTTTGTGTGCTGCAACCACTCGCACCTGCAGGATGTTCTGCCGCTCCCACAATGCTTACCAGCTCACAATCCAATAATGAAAATAGCCAAATGATTTGGTAATAATAATTTGTGAATTATGGTACACAAACTAAAAGCATTTACATAGCCAGACATTGCAACATGACCATCCATGTTTGTCATGTCTGCCAATATCTGCTGTAGACCTGTGGACTGGCCTGCCCTGCACAGACCTCTATAATACGTACAGTACTAGGAGGCTACAGAAATATGCAAATGTGTTATTTATTTTTATTGGCAGTGAACTAATTGGATTACACCTCTCCAAAGGCAAGGAGCAGTGAGAATGTTTGTTATGTAATCACTGCAGAGAAGTAGTGATCTGTATGCACATATTGACATGATGTGCTTTACTCGATTTTGCAAAGGCTTAATGCTGAGGTCCAATTTTTAGCCTTGGCTTTGAATATTTGTCAGGCACTCCATGTAAAACTAATTGGGGGCAGCTTTTAACAACCATATGTTTATGTGTATTCTCCTCCCTTATCCACTGTTCCTTAAATGCCTTTTTTCCCTCTTTCTGCTGCCTTGTCCTGACTTGCACTCAGGTTGAGAAATGTTTACCAATCAAACAGATGAAGTGTTTTTTCAGTTTTTATTTTACTCATTTTATTTAAATAAACACATGTGCTATTTATAGGGCGATTGAGTATTCGAGGATTTTCTTTTGATTGAGTGCAAAGTTTGCATGTAAAAGGGTTCTGGCCTTTTGAAGCCACAAATGATTGCTTACAAGTCTGTGACTCTAACCTTGATATGGAGAATAGGAAATGAGACTCAAACGTACAAGGCTTGTTTCGGCTCGATTGCAGCACTGCAGCTTACGTGGCTTTTGTACTTGAAGCCTCTGTAAACATGTAAGGAGCTAAAATAAAGCCAGGCTCTAATGGATCAAGTAATGGATCACATCAAACTCACAACAGCTGCTGTTTACCTAAAGGGAAATCTCCTCTGCATTTCAGTTTTAAAACCTGCCATTCATATGCTGTGTATTGGTGAATATTTACCTCTCTCTGCTAGTAATGATATATGTAAATAAATTCTCAGTATTTCCAACAGGTTGTCAGTTTACTTCAGCCGCTTCAGGAGGAAAAGGGAGTTTATTGATGATTTGTTACTGATGTTTCATTCAGCGGTCCCACTAACTCACATTTTTTTCAATGTCTCTCAGTCCATCGTAAGATAACGGCCATCGCAACATTAGCCGACTATTATGCTTCCATCTGTTTATCCAAGCTGTATTTTACGCTGTCTCTCTGTTTAGTTTGTGTTGGGACAGACCACTACTCAAGCAAGTGCAGATATGCTAGTGCATTATGGTGAATTATGGTCAATGTAGTTCACTTACCTGCTTTAGGAGCTTGGCATCATTTAATAGTGATTGTTTGAAAACTACATCAGCAAAAACAACGAGTGTCAGACATTTATACGTATACCTTTAATGGAGCCATGTGATCACTTTCTATCTCCCCAGGCCACAGATCCAGATGCAGGGGCTAATGGCCAGGTGCGCTACCGGATTGTGAATCATCCGGACTTGTTTCTAATCAGTGCTAACGGCAGCATCTACACAAGAGTGCCCCTTGACCGGGAGCTTAGGGGCCAATATGACTTGGTGGTAGAGGCTTCAGATGGGGCCGTGGATCCACGGAGGACCACCTTGACCCTCTCTGTCCTGGTCACAGATATCAATGACAACAGCCCAGTCTTCTCCCAGGAAACTTATGTGGTGAATGTACCTGAGAACAGCCCTGTGGGAACTTTGGTCCTGAAGCTAAGCGTAAGTACTTAAGTGCATGTGTTAACTGGTTGTTTTCGCTCTTTCGCTCTCTCCATCCCTATATGCCTTCTGTCTTTTTATGTAATGCAGCACAGGTGCCTAAAACAAGAGTTGTAGTAACAGACTTTTAGCATCTTTCAACTTCAAGTGCAAGCAATTTAGTGTTTAAAATGTCAAATGCTTCCAGACCGAAAAAAACATTTACACAGACAGAAACATACACTTCCTTATATACACAGCAGAAAGAAACATTTTTTCTGCTGTCATGACAGCTATTTGAGTACTTTTAGACATAGAATAAGACTTAATGCTGGATTTTTCAAGGCATAACTACGCTTTAGTAGAGGATCATTGTTTCCATCAGTGCACATGTTTGCACTGAAGTGAAATATAGGGAAACTATGTGCATGAAGCACAGACACAGAGTGGAGGGGCGAGTAATTGCTGGCATATTGTGAGTGACATTTCCCAGAGTGGTATAAAGCAAGAGGGGAGGGTGAAAAGCAGGGGGGTGAAGGTTGAGGGTGAGGGGTGTGAGTGACAGTGGCACTGTGACACCATTAATCTCCTAGACAACATCACCTCAACTATAAATGGATGGGGGTGGCTGGCAAGACACCTAAAGAGCAAATGTGAGATAGTGTCTATCAATAGATATGAGAGTGAGTGCCTCACAACATCTGTTTCAGCATCCATATACCTAATCATCTCCTATTGCAGTGGCCTTTACAAATGATCATTGTGATCAGTTTTGATTTTATGCAATGAGGACGAACTTAAGCTTTCCTTCGTGGTTTCATTTAATCAGAATATATTAATGATTGATGTAAGTAGCCCCTGCAGCATAAAAACGCAAAGAAAAAAGAAAAAAGAAACATTCATATTCATTGTCCACAGCCACACTGCTTATATCTTTTATATGTATAATTTTGAAAATATATGTGGCTGTTCCTCTCTTCTTCTGTCACCCCACTTTTTCTTTACATATGTGCTCTGTTGTCTGTAATGTACTGTAATATGTTTCCCTTACTCATCCTTTTCCTCTTCCTTCTCCTAGGCGGTGGACTCAGACCTCTTCTCCAATGTCACATATCGGATCAAGACTGAATCGGCCAGACAGCTGTTTTCTCTGAACCCTGTCACAGGGGAGTTAACTGTGCTGCAGACCCTGGACTTTGAGGACCTGGCAGCTATGGGCATGGGGGCCTCTCACACTTTCCAGGTGGAAGCTGTAGACCAAGGAGGAATCATGCCCCCAGGGCAAGCTACCGTCACAGTCCGCATCACGGTAAGAGCCCCCCCGGATAGTCAGTCCACCACAGCCTCTGAATGGTGTATTCTCCTTCCATCTATCCTCATTGTCCCTCAGGAGCTGCAGCAATGGCAGTGAATATTTCGTGAGTCATTAGCAGAGTTTTACAATAGTAATAGCTCATATAATCCACAGTCCAAAAAGGGATTGTGGGCTTATTGTACAATATTGCACCTGCGCTGCTTTTGTCATATGAAATTCAGCCCTATGCAGCACAAAAGCTGAATGCACTTCCTTTGTAAAACCCGTTTTTGCCTCCCGACCCGCTTGTCCTGGTAACATCACTGGGACAAAGGCAATTTGATGGATAGATGTTTCTGCCGTGCACACAGTGCCGTTCCAGATTGGAATGACTCATTAGCTTTGTGACAGCAATTATGTCAGGTTTTTCAGGAGCCTGTATTCCCTTTATAAGCTTTCAAGAGATTAACAGCTGAATCCCAACGAAAGGATTAGACCCCTTGTGTTGTGATACTATTGATGTGCGTGTGTGTGACTGTTTGTGTGTCTTTTTGCTGTAAGTAATTTTGTGCTTCAAAATCTGTGCATTCACATTTATCTCTATGAATTCAGTCCAGCCCTAGTGATGGTCTTAAAGTCTGCAGAATTAAGCTCTCTATATTACACAGAATGGGAGGAAGCACTTAAGCTTACTCAAGCAGGCTCGCTGCATGCTCTGCCAACCTGTAGAGTGAGTTTGTCCTCCGATAAGGACATGCTTTGTTGCATAGTTCGTGCTGTCAACCAGGAACTGTGTTTGATAGGATAAGGCATCGCACAGCCACTGATATCAAACCAATGTCTGTTATTTGAAATGGCAGACATGAATTAGAATGAGCCTAATGGATTCATGCAGGCTTCTCTGGGACTAGAGATGGAGCTGATTCCAATGATTCCGCTTCCTTCCTCATATAACACCTCCAGAGGGTTATTTGAAGTTGCTCGTGTTTGATTTCCCCTTGTATTGTTTTGTTGCTGTCTCTTTCGTCGGATGCCTTGCAGTGATGGATTGAGTGTCCTGCGTGTCTTGTTGTTCTGAATGAGTCTCCCAAACTTTTCCTTCTATTCTTGTACTTCAGAAATGAAAGACAGACACCCTCTCAGTGTGTGTTTGTCTGTGGGTTTGTGCGCACGGATGGAAAAACAGTTTGTATGTATGTACATGCATGTTTCACACAAACATAAGTGTGTCTGTGCATGCATCTTGTGAACACTTGCAGCACAAGGATCAGGCTTTGTTGTTCAAAGTAAGAACTGGATCATAGATTTTCTGCTAGGAAACACTAAACCTGTGTATCGATCAAAGGGATGCTGCCCTCCACCACTGAGTTTATAGAACACATACTATTGCCCATGGCTCAGTCAAAACAGTGGAAAGTAAAGAGAAAAGTCAAGAGAAAGGAAGATCAGGCTCCAGCAGTTATACTACAGAGCTAAGCTATTCCTGAGAGATATGTGAATGGCTTACTGAGTTTGCATTCTCACAAAGCGAAGCAAGGGTTGCACAGTTAACAAGATTTCATTTCTTCGCAGGCCCATAGGATGGCAAGGCTCTGCTGTGCATTATTTACAGTGAGAAGGTGATTAAAAGCAAGTTGAAGTTCCCACATGCGGGAAGCATTGGGAGCATGATATTACTTAATCCCAACAGAACGATGTCATCGACTAAAGGGGGATTAATGTAGGGAAAAGATAGGATAAGAGGGCAGTGTTCGCAACATTAGTCTTGTTGTTGTGTGGTGGTAAGGGCCAGCATCATATGCCAGATTTTTTTTATAGTAACCGGTCAGCCCTCTTATTAAGTTTGATGTTGCAGAAGTCTTGACATTGCTTTTGTGATTTTTTGTGTCAGCATGTTTATTATTTGGTTCAAGAAATGGGACTTGTGGGACAGTCAAACACTAGTTTTCCAAAGGTCCAGCCAACAAAGTCACACTGAAAATACTATTATTAAGCTTCTAACTGTAGATTGAAGTAAGTCAGAAAAGTCACCTAAACCTTGAGATTTCTTAGACGAATTAAAATTAAAAAAACACAATGAGCAGCATCTTATTTGGCAGTGACAATAAGCTCATCTGCCTACCTCCCACCAGCAGGTACTTTGGAGTGGAATGTGTATGTTTATCAAGATAAACAAAACACAAAGAAAATGCATTGATTATGAATAACTAAATTTCAAGCAGCAGCAGTATTATGTTTTCACAATTTAACTAAATGTTCAGATTAATGACAAATATATTAATACATGGCTTAGAAAAAGGGGACGTTTTTGTATTGCTTCAATTTACACTTTTTTCATCCGCAATGTGTGTCTATGTTTATATGTAGTCACATTCAGCTCAGATGCCCAGTTCTTAAAGTGCAAGGACAAAGCCTGGGGCATGCTGCATTATTGCAGTGGGAAAATTTGCCTGAATCCACAATAACTTCCTGGAAGCTGAAATCAAACAAAGCAGCAGCTGCACAATCTGCACTGCTCCAATATTAGTCAGAATAAGCAAAATTAGTAGTAGAAGACACTGAAGTCAGCCACGGTTACAAATATTTCCAATTCACAACTGATACGCCTACATTTATGAAATCTGTTTTGTTTTCAGGACATGAATGACTTCTCCCCCGTGTTTATCCAAGACCTGTATAGGGGCATGGTGGCACCTAATGCAGAGAAAGGAACAGTCATCACAACTGTTTTTGCTGAGGACCAAGACCCTCCAGTGAGTATAGACAAATTGCTTCTTTTAAATGTATATTTAATATATGCAATGTGTACAAGATTGGTGATTAGATTTTATAGCACATGAAGCATGTTGTGTTTTTACTAAAGATAGCCGACGAGCTCTTGTGGTTTTCACCTCCTCACTACATTTTGCTCTTAGAACATTGGTCAATTTTAGCTGTAGCATGTGACGCGATGCATGTTAAAGATGTTTTCAATACTCAGATGCTCTCATTAGAGCTACAGTGCTGTGTGTATTTATTATAAGGGTTATCTTGTTTAGCATCTTCACTTGCATGAGTCATCTACCAGTTGCCTCAGACAGCAATATGTTTCCTCAGACTCCTTTACTTCACCATATCTGAGCAGGTTCTCCTGGGACTGGGGCTGTGAAGATTTTTTTATTTTTCTTTCTTCTTTTTTATGGGAATGTGCAAACGAAGGACCAAAATTACACAATGCAGAAGAGAAATTGTGACACCCTGTTGAGACTAGAAATTGTATGACTAATAGGAGGCAACATGGTAGCAATGGGGGAAAAAAAGTTTGCATGAATTTTTGTGGTTTGAGTCTGTCACTAACATAATGTATATATTTAGGATAGTGCAAGTCCTGAGAATGAGAATGTCCCACGTCATTCACCTCAGCTGAACTTATTTTATTGGCAGTGCCACCCACTTTAATATTTTAGTGCACATGGTGAGTCAGCTGTCTTCTTGCTCACATCCTCTCTATCTTTCTCATCGTTCTGTTTGTGAGTTTATATAGACCAGCCATTTCTCTTATAACACATTACGACTTTTTTGTTTCTTTTCACATTTTCACTGTAAAAAAAAATAGAATATGAATCCCCCAGTGACATCCCTACTTCGTCCCGGTAGCTTCCAGCTCTGAATGTGTTTTTCAGAAAACTCATGTATGACTGGACTTGGTGCTCGGTGTTGTCAGTGTCCCTCCTGCTGGCGGGATCTCACCAGGACTCGGTTAGCTTGTGTACTCTGCAGCACATAAACGCTGAGGGATATGGATGCCTGTCAGTCCCAGCCGTGGGTGGTAAAACATCCCCAGAGAGGCACAGTGACTGCTGTACATCTCACTTCCCCTCTCAGAGAGAAACTCTCCCTCCTCCTACTTTTTCTGCCCCCCCCACCACCACCACCACCACCACTTTGCTGTCTATTCAGCTCTAAAAACTTCTCTTTAATGTGAATGTGCCATTTTCCCCTCATACAGGATTCTACCCTAAACATTTCTTATCGAGTACAGTAGAAAAGCACTGCTCAAACACAAATAACCATCATTATGTTACTATGAGCACAATGGCAGCAAGTCGTGAGACTTGGGAGTGACTCTGCACTTTGACAGACAGAGGGATTAGATTTCCTAACAGGAGCCGACTAACCCAGTCTCTTATTGACCTGGATTTGGGAGCTCAAAGCATTTTATTGACAGGATGCCTGTCATAGACATCTCTGATGGAACAGAGCTTAGTTTAGTGCTTGCTAAATACGCATACAGATGTGTGCACACATACACATTCTCTCTCTCTATTACACAAGCTTACAAAAAGCTTCACACACAATGAAAGAAAGAGAGGAAGAGACTCGCTCTGGCCTGTAGCCTTGATGCGACAAACATGCATGCATATTTTGTCTGAAGGCTATAATAGTCCTCCTATTATAATTTGTATGTGTACATTTTGGAAAGACGGCATATCTATCCACCCATGCTTTGGGAAAAGTGATGCTAATGGTTTTTAAAAAGTGACTATATTTTTGGCAGTGCCACTCAACCCCATAATGTCAATGTTAATATCACCCTGAATGAGAGAGGAGATCACCATGGAGACAAATGTTGCAGTAAGAAGCTTCTTTCTTCTGCACAAGATTTATAGTCTTTTATTTGTGACTGAAAAAGAAAGTTTCTTCCGCAGTGTTCATTAATTAGGGAAACTGTTACCTCTTCACATTTTTTTTTCATTCACCATAATTCCACAACTGACTAGAAAACAGCCTCAATTATCCACTTTCCACTGAGCATAGGAAACAAGCTCTGTTTTGTCCTAGCTTGACATGAATGTGAAATTTAAACATACGGTCTTGATCCATCCAGATACCAAGGTATGTATACGCCAATACCCTCTCAATAGTTAATCCATTCAGGGTGGTAATATACAAACTATGGTCCACAATATTTCTCGCTCTAGAGAAGTCCGGCTCTAGTATACATTAGCATTCAGAATTAATTTAAGATTAAAAGTGCATCTTGTAATTTGTCTTGGCTTGCTGTAGGATTTCAGTGGCTGAGTGTGCTATGTCAGTGATGAAATACAGGATTGTATCATCCTTCTAGCCACTTGCAAATCAAATCAGGCATTAATCATTTCACAACCCTAGCAAATTAAGTTGTTTTAACATGTTAGCTTTGCTGTTTTACACTCTCAGCTCAAGCCTTGGTGTTGTGTTGTGTGTCTCTGAGGCATCTTTCAGTGCTTCTGAACTTCATGAACTGGCTATTTCATACTAAAGAGAATTGGATTCGTATAAAAGAAATACAAGCAAAACAAAAATGCATTTGAAAATTATCCTTCTTGCAAAATCTTGCTCTAGGTTGTAATAAGGAAGAATTATTTTGATGCCAAACTACTTGGCTTTGAGTCGATTGCCAGACAAAAAAAAGATGTTGTAGAACTGAAAGTGTATGTAGACAGAGACAGACTGAAATGCTACTCTAGCTGTAATACATTCACTACTTGACTCATTTTTAAACTTTCTTTCTTGCCGCTGTGAGTTGTAAGAAAAAGTACTTTGCCAAAAGTGGAAACACCAATCACTTTAAAAATTCAAGCTACAGCTTCGAAAAGTATTGTGCTATGAGTGAGGAAAATTGTCTTATTATTTCACTTTCTTTATTGGTTGGCTTTTGTATGGCCTGGATGTTCTTGGGCTAAGTTTGACATATCGGTTTCAAAAGGCGAACTAATGATACAAGAACTAGAGTGCATTGTATGTTTAGCCTTGAGCAAAGCACTTTTAACCATCTATGCTGCTGTCACTTTAGAGGTATTGCCTCTGTATTAGATTCTTCTCTGGGAGGTGTTTTTTTATTAATGATCCTGTCCTAACATCTTTTCCATTACATGTTAGAAAACAAGTTGAGGAGCTTTTAGAGATGAGGCCCTTTTTTTGAGAATCCCCTTAGTGAATTCACTCAGATAGTTTTGTAACCTCTTAGAGACACATTTGTGTGAGTAAGCCTCCCAGGGGATCCACTGCTACTACAGGATTTACCTCTCTGTAGCCTTAGGTTTTACCCCGTCCCTGGGGAACAAAATCAGTTCAGGCGAGGGAGCACATCTTCAAAAAGCTTATTAAAAATGCGACTGAATTTGAGGTCCAAAGGGATGAAACTGGAATAAGATAAGCTACAGAGATGATTAGTAATCAGGAGCCGTGATTAATCTTAATCAAAGGGTCATATTAAAGTCCAGGCTCTTGCTAATGAATCTAAGTGTGTTACTCTGGAGACTAGAAGGGTGAGTTTAATGGAGAAGTTTTTTTTTATTATTTTATTCTAAATGAAAGGGAAGAGGTCTGAATCAATGAATAACAGGGAGTTTATATTAGCGGTCTAATGAGCCGAGTGAGACATTAGGATAATTTTTCAGGTTACAAAAAGATGAGAGCAACCATCAAATACAGCGATAATAGTTGTGTTCCTAAGCAAATAACATTGCCATATTCTTATGCTTACATTTGAAATAACCTGATTACTTTGACACTCCCTCTCTGCATCTGCATTTGAAAATGTGAAAGGTGGTGTCCAAACAAGTGGATTGATGTGATTCATGTTCTTCTTTCTCCTTCCTCTAGGGTACTCCGGCTAGTTTTGTCCGCTACAGAGTGGACCTGGCCAGGTCACCTTACAGTGGGAGCATCTTTGATGTGGAAGAGGAAACTGGAAGAATCATCACTAAGGTCAACCTCAATGAAGAGCCCAGTGTCACTTTTAAGGTGAATGGGAGTGATTATGGTAACATGATAAGCTGCTGCTGCTTATAATGTCAGCGTGTCAATTCCAAGATATTCACATTATTCTGTTATCCAGTCAGAGACGCGTAGATTAAGTCCAGGAATTGTCCATTGTAGTGAATGGTTTAACAGCTAGATTTGGCAGAAAGGGATCTCTGCTCTTTGAGGGACCTCCTTAATAAACCCATATATGAACATGAAATCTTAGTTTGAGTTGAGAAGTGCTGAGTAATAATAGCCATGCTGTACACCTGCATAATTATTATTGAAAATGAGCAGTCAGCTGATAGCCACACAGCTGTAAAAGGGTCAGTGATTGTGAAGCATGAATGAAACCGCTGATGCCGATCAGCTAACGTAAGTGGGACTTCAGTGCTCTGCTCTGCTAATAAAGTACAACTTAATTATGCTGGCTTTTAATAAAAGTGTCAAGTCAGAGTGTGTAAAAAATACTTATATTAGCTTTCAGCATTTGACATTTTGACTTAATAATGACAGTGGTGATAAGTATAATTGATGATGATACATCCTTGATCAAAAATACAAGAATATACTAATTGTTTTACTGTAAAGATGCTATTTGTCATAGTTGATGTGTATTGCTCTGCCTCACATGTTTTAGTGTGATACAAGTTGCAGTGAAGATCAGTGGTTCAGATTTGTGCATATTGACTTTTTAAAATTGAAGAGCATTTTTAGGGCATTATTATTTGTTTCCTGAATTGTCTTCATGATCATGTCATTGCTTCTCTTGTTGTTTGTGACCAGTGATACTGAGTTTTTCTATTGATTAAACAAATTCCCTCCCAGGTGCTCACATAAAGGTTTTTTTTTTCACCAACTTAAGATGACTTTACATCTGGCACATCTGTAGTTGTGAACAATGGACCAGGTTCATAAGTCCTGGATTTGTTGCTTGCCCTCACACGTTGTCTGTCCTCCTCTATCTGTTTCACTTTCCTCCTGTATTTTCCTTTCTCTGTTTCTTTAAACATTATGTCTGTGTTTATTCTCTTTCTGTCTATCGGCCCCCTGCTTCCCCCAGGCCCCTTTCTCCACAGTCTATGAATGTAGATCAATACATTCATACTCGCTCTCTGGGAGCTTTGCAGGCCGCTCGCCAGATCCTATTTTGCCAGTCTGTCTTTATTAGGATGCCGAACATGTCTACAAAAAATGCCTGGCAACCGCAAAAAGGGAATTATTTTTGTAGTTAGTGGTAGTATGATTAAAAATATTATACTTTTGTGATTGTATATGTGTTGCTTATGTTTGTTCTCTTGCCCGATGCAGTTGTTTGTGATAGCCTATGATGATGGGGAGCCAGTGAAGTCGAACAGTACTTTGGTGGAGATCACTGTCCTCCAGCCTTCACGCATCCCAATCTTCACCCAAGAGGAGTACAGGTATGTCTCCTTGACACAACTGTTGATAAAGCTGCCTCTGCCTGTAAATTCACACATCAAAGAGCAGCTTAGGTCTGTAGCGTCAGACAGGGAGAGATGGTGAAAAAGGCTGGAGGAAGTGGGCAAGGTATCTTAAGAACACCATGACACACATTTACATCTGTGGTCACATCTTCCATTCAGCTTCTGTAATACTTTGATTAATATTTAATCACTTGATATATTATATATTCTACCTTGAACTGCTGCAAATAGCCATGAAGTCACTATTCCTCATGCATTTATTATCTTAATAACGATAACTATCTGAGCATTATTGCTCCCTCGTTGTCAACGCTCCGTAAAGTGGCCCCCAGTTTTGATTCCATGTCTCCGTCTTTGTCATGCTCTCTTTTCCTTGCATGACTGATTAATGAGCTTTGAGTATAAATATGCATTAGAGCTTTCGGGGTAGATGCTGCAGATCATCACTGCTGTAAACCACATTTGTTTCTCTCGGAGGGCAAAGCAGGGCTTCCCTCTGGGTTTATTAAGAGTCTCTTTTGACAAGATTAAGTGTTTAGACTGTTAAACTGGCAAAGAGAGATGCAGGATGAGGGAACATAATCTATACTGCTTTGAGATGACTGTCTGTTACACATGCGATACGCGGCTCTATTGGGCCAGGGCTGGGTGGAGTTTGTCTGTACTGATTGTACTGTGGCTCAGCAGGAGGCCAAGAAGTCATTTATAATTAAAAATAAACATGGATTATTAACACTCCAGCTGAGGCTGTTTTGAAAAATCTTCCATGATGAGTGAGTACTAGCATTAACAGTTGCTTTCTATTATGTTGTGCTGCAGTGGGTACGTGTCTGCAGTGCTCAAGAGATCCTAGCCAGACTGTGAAGCTTTAAGGTCTGGTGGCAAAGTTGCCTGGCACAATGCAGTCTCTGGAAGCTTAAAGTAAAGCTTGTTTTAAGTGGATTGATTTACTAGCTTGTATGTCAGTCAAACTAGGGAGTTTTTTTTGTCTTATGTAACATAATTTGATATGCCTATATGCATAAGACAGGGAATGTAACGCCTGCCTAACCTGTCAACACATCAGTTGAACTGTTTGTATCTTTGTTTGTGCACAGGTATGTCTTTGTGCCCATCTCACTGGCTTTTGTGAGTGTGTGCCTGCATGTGTGGATACTTGTATATTTCCTCATACAAATGAGTGTGTGTGCATCAAACACACCCTTTGCAATCCAGCACTTTGTATGCGTCCTCACGTTCTTCTGTTGCTCAGCTTTATTCAGAGATTGATATACACAGGCACAGCAGCAAAGCCGTTGAAAGGCCATTGATTAACGCTTTGAGTGAGTGCTCTGTCTGACCCACACATGGAAATGTCGGGACAATAGGCACAGACCTCTGTAGGGTATCACACTGACAATACTAACCATACCCAGTGGCAGGCCTGCTGTAAATTGTGAGCCGTGAAAGCATTAGCCAGGTGCTCGAGCCTCTCTCCTGCTGGACATGGTTCTCTCCAGCGGAGAGCGTGCAATCTGCTCGCTCTGCGATGAACTGTCTCCTCATTCCTCGCCTCTCTATCTCTCCCCGAGGAACCTTCTGAACACAAATCACTCTCTAAATGTCCACAGAAGATCTCGTCTGTCTCTGTGAAGGCAGTTAGTTATAGCGGCAATCAGGTAAGCTATGCCTACAGCTCCAGAGCACACAATTAAAACAACTCTGCAGGGCTTTGGCTGACTTAATGATTTCTGCTCATGCTTTATGGTTGGTCCCCTCCATCTGTCAGAGGGAAATGAGGAGCTCCCAGTCATTGTTGGTTAAAATAAATGGCTCATACCGTGGTTGCTACTGTAGCAGCATGTTGCTTTTCAGAAGGTTTGAGCAAAACACTTTCTGTTTTTTTTGTAGGATAACAAATATGTTCATAATTTTACAATTGTTTGAATTAACCACTCTGAAATTCATTTTAAGTAAGTAATATCATTAGTGTTAATACCAAAGCTAGTGTAATATGAAAAGGTAGTGTAGTGCAGAACTTATAGACAACTGTAAAAAAAAAAAAAAAACTCTACAGCTTTACACAGCTTTAAAGCTCTTAGCTCACTGTTTTAGTTCTCTAGACCACAAGTAGACTATATGAGTCAAACCACAATCCTCAGTCAAACCCCCATATAATACTGCAGACAGCCAAGCTGAGTGTGCGCTACCTGCCCAGCATGAAGTAAACACTACACGTTGAACAAAGTAAAAACAAAAAAGAAAAGAAAAGGAGAATGAATATTGAACTTACATTTGTCAAGTGGGCAGAAATGAGCTCAATGGAGAGGTCATGCTGCTCTGCATCAGTTGGCTGTGTACTGTAAGTGAAAACAGAGATGGTGTATAATGGCTACCGTCGGGGGTTTCTTTGAGTTTGTTTGAGTCTTTCAGCCCTTAGTAGGGCAGCACAATTCTATAAAATAAATCTGTAAAATATTCTTAGTCAAACACAATATTGGGATTTTCTCTCACAATTCATAGAAAAACATTATTAAATATAAATATTTATAGCATTCTTTTTTGCCTGTATCTATACAGAAACATAACAACTCTGAAGAGTTTTTATTAGTATATGTATTATTTTTCTACTGCCATTTTTACAGGAATTCAGTAATCACCTGCCCAAATTGCAGCCTCCCAACAACTCAACTCAAATCTGTTCCAATTGACTCTGTTGATCGAAGATATATCTTCTTCCAGGTGATAAGTGATTGACTTTATAATCCCCTTGTGCCTACATCCAGGGCCTTGATAGCTCCATCATCTGCTGAAACTATGGCAAAACTTTTGCAAAGTATATATGTGTCATTGCCATCATATCTCTTTATTCTCTCTCTTTGATTGATTTTTGTTGTTTTTCTCAAAAACTTCACCGAACTGTCACCCAGTTACTGTTTTCTCTTAAACATAGCAGATATGTTTTTTTAATGTGTTCCTGCCACCAAAGAAGCAGGCTCTTCTTCTGGACTTCATGTTCCTATTCCTGTTTTGAGATTTTTCAGAAATGGTATTAACTGCATGGCGTCAGATCCTCTGCAAATAGTCAACACTTCTCTACTCAGGCCATTTCCCACGGCCCCTGAAAACTGCAGTTATTAAGCCACTCAAATAAATCTATACCACTCACTAATGAAGAATTACAAGCCCATAAAGGTCTTTTTAAGTAAAGTTATTGAAAAGGCTTTTTTTCAACAGCTTAATACCCTCTTGGCTACAAATAATTGTTTTGATGTTTTACAGTCACTGGAGAAATTTGCAGCGCTTGAGTTGCTTGAGATGCCATGGATCATATGGTTATGTATGAATGAAGTTAATATTCTATTAGAAATTAAGTAGAAAATATGATTAATCATGCCAACCAATAGTCAAAAATCACTTAATGCAGCTTTAACTCATTTTGTAATTATTTCATAGCTTTTACAATGTTTTTTTGAATGTGAATGATTATATAATAACTAACTAACTATTATTAAATAACTATTTTTTGGAGCCCTTTCGTAAAACTACTCTGAATGGCTCTTTTACATGGAACTCATGGACACAACCCTTTGGGGAAGTCTTTAGCACTGAGCACATGGGAAGGGAATTAATATTTATTTTCCCCCTGTGTGTGACTGGAGATCAGGAGGGTTAAGCCTCTGTCTAACATGGTCCTACTTTGTGAATCCTCCCTCTTGTACTGAGGCTACCTCTCTGTTGCAAACCTGCGGTCTGAGCAGTTTTTCGTGGTGCTTATCTCCCCCACAGCACTTCCCCTTCTAAATCTACTCTAAATCACATGAGACTTTTGCCTCACTGCCTCTGAGTATGTCATTTTGCTCTCCTCCTCCTTTCACCCCCCCTTACCCACCCCCACCCCTGCGATTTAAATGACAATTGGCTCTAAAAAACACACATGTTGTTCTAAAACAGCTAATACATAATTAATTGACCATTTTAGGGCTCACAGTGACCCAAACCACACTTATCTGGGTGGCAGGACTTTATACGAGGGAGAACATACGACAAGATCCAGATAAGTTTGCGAGCGAATGCACACGGAATCACACATACCCACACAGGAAAGAGAATTCACCCCCTGCTTGGAGGGAAAAATGAAGGGCCTACTGACTTGTACGTGAGGGAGAGAAGTAAGGAGACAAAAGTGGAACAGAAAGTGACAGAAGACGAGTTATAAGCTGGAGAGGGAAAACCGGGGGATGGGGGCTCTTGGTT